TATAATTTAAATATTATTAGAACTCTTGAAGAGATTCTAAGTGTAATAAATTATCTAAAAGAGAATTTAACATGAAATAGAATAAAATTTTATCTCGACCCGCAATTCAAACACTTAAAGATGAGATTTTTAGTTATCAATCAACTTATGTATAAAAAAGTATTGCAAAGATTTTATATGGATAAGGCTCATCTATTGACTAGTCTAATGGTAGTTCATTCACTTAATATCTAAAAGAATCATTTTCAACCTTGAGAAGATTATGAAGAACTTCTTGGTCTTGAAGTATCATACCTTAGTACAATCAATATATTAATATATCTTACTAATAATACCCCATTTGATATATTATTTTTTATAAATTTATTAGTAAGACATAATTCCGCACCAATATGGAGACATCGGAATGAAATCAAACATATATTATGTTATCTTTGAGAAACAATTGATATGAGCTTATTTTACTCTAATAAATCACAATCAAAATTATATATTAATTAGTTATACAAATACATATTATTTATCTAATCCACATAAAACTTGATGATCGCAAACTAATTATGTATTTACACATAGTAATATAGTTATATCATGATGTTCTACAAAATAAACTACAACTACTACACCTTCAAACTATGCGAAATACTTGCAATTCATAAGGCAAGTCGAGAATATATTTGACTAATATTGGTGACCCATCATATTAAAAAACATGTGGTTTATCTACTAGTAAGGAAGTTCTAACGATATTATATAAAAATAATACTGCTTGGATAACTCAAACAAAGAAAGGATACATTAAATGTAATAGAGTAAAACATATATCACTAAAATTATGTTTCACATACGATCTTTAATATAATAGTGATGTTAATGTTCTATAAATTCGATCAAGTGATAATTTGACGAGACTTATTCATTAAGATATTACCTACCATAAATTTTGAGAAAATAGTTCGTAAGATTGAGATGCATCGTCTTAAAGATCTTAAATGATGTTTTCAATAGATATAAGTTATAATGAAGATTAATGTGTATAAGAAATATTGTACTATTTTTTCTTTATCGAGATCTTTTTCTACTAGGTTTTTTCATAGTAAAGTTTTAACGAGACATATTTTTTGTACAATGAATATTCAAAGAGGAATGTTATGAAATAATAAATATCTATATAAATGTTCATATTCATTTCATTTCATATTTTAATTACTCATAATCCTTAATGTGATTCAATTTAACCATTTAATATACAAATTGAAAGAATAGTGTATTTGATTCAACTATTTATCCACCTTTTTATTATTCATAGTCCATTCTAATTCTCTTCTTGGTCTCGAATCCTATAATTAGGCTTGATTATTCATTAGTTTAGGGAGTAGAGTTTTGTAGAAATTTTTTAAAAAAATTGTTTTAAAATTGTTATCACTTGTATTCACTTTCTATTATAATGAATTTACTTTTTTCTATTATTTTTCTCCAACACTTTTACTCGTTATCATAACAATTATTATTATTATTTAATAAAAATTTGATTAACATAACTACTTGATAATGTTTGTGTCGCGTAGGACTCATATTTGAGCCATTTAATGTAGGTTTTGACTGAGAAAAGTTTTCATCTTTAAATATATTGTATTCCACAATCATTTAATTAAAATATTTTTTTAGAAAATTAAATTATCAATTATTCTATTTAATTATTTGATTTAAAAGTTAATTTGATAATTATATTGAAGTAAGGAATGGTTTTTTAGACTTTGTGATCGATAAAGTAAGTGTTCGGTACACTAATATTTGATCATTGATAAAAACCATGTGCAAAAAAGAGTTGTTCATGATCTATTAAAGGCATGGTAATGTCATTAACCGTAAATACAAGCCCCTAAAGTATTTTGTAAAAACTAGGTCTTTTGCCCACGCTACGTCACGGAGTTGGATAGAATACGTGAAATCATATAAAAAAATCATTTCAGCTTAATAGTTTATGTTATGTTATGAGTCCACAAAAATATATGAAATCAAAATAAAAAAAAAATCCAATTTTATAATATTTTAATTAATTTTTATATTTAATTATTATGCTCGTGCTACCCCGCTCTACGTCCATCCGATTTACTCAACCGTTGTTGTTAGCACTCATTTTTAACTCTTAATTTTTTGTGACTTTTCCCCAAAAAAAATCAAAGAAATTTCATTTTGAATTTTTTTGTTCGATCAATTTTTTTTTCAAAATTAAAACTTTTTATTAGTTTTTATGAGTTATTTTTTAGCATAAAAAAAAAAAAACAAAGAAAGGAAAAGAAAATAAAGAGAAGAGAAAAGAAAGAAAAAAGGAATAAAAAAAAGACATACGAGTGTCAATTAAAACAATTAAGAAGATATGAACCAAAAAAGTTTCTACTGGGGAGGATAATGGAAGAATTGAAACCCAATAGCCTTTAATTGCAAATAAATTAAAAAAAATTAGAAGAATTAAAAGAAAGAGGTGGAAATAAACTCAATTAGGGATAAAATTGAAAAAAAATTAAAAGGTAACGAGATCATAATGAAAAATTTATGCAACGTAAGGGACTAAAAAGGAATTTAACTAGAAACCCTAATTTTTCTTTTCCATTCTCTTCTTTTTTCTCCAACTAGCTCTAACACTAAATAACCATTGCCGTTCACCATCCACAAATAACCATCTCCGCCAACCTCAAGCTCGAACTACCACTTTACTTGTTTAGTCATGTCGTGCTCTTTTCGAACCCAACTGCCATAGTTTTCCTTACCGTACTTCACACCACGGACCCACTCGAACCCACCATCTTCATCACCTAAACAACTCATTAATAGGTCTTATCGATTCAAATTTCTAGACGTAAGTTTACGTGCTTCAAATATTCACTTCGTTCCATTTTCTTTGGTTTCTCTCATTTCCAATTCCTTCCTTCAGCTTTTTTTTCTTTCTCTCTTTAAATCTAACATAATAAATATTCTTTCTTTTTTTAAGTTCTTGAGTTAGATTCAAGTTTAGAGCACCCCATTCATTAACTTTTAAGGAAAAAGCCCTCTAATTTATTTATTTAATAAAATTTAGCAACCCTTTTTGGTTGAATTCTCTCCCATTTCTTTTTTTTTTCCTCTATAAAAATGCTCTCATTTTGAATTCTAGATTGATTCATAATTTACTGGAAAAAAAAAAGAGAAGAATAAAAAAATAAATTTATTCAGATTTGATGCAATTATTATATGTGTTTTTTTAGCTTGGCATTAGAATTTTCATTCCTTGAATTGTAATCTTTGTTTTGCTTTATTTTAATTTGAATTTTAGATTTCATTAGAAAAATGAAGAAATGACAGAAGATAGGAGCATCTAGCAAGACAGAGGTGGACATATTAAATGGCTAAAAAATACTTAAATTAACGAAAATATCATTAATTTAAATCACAAAAATGTTACTTAATAAATAGTTATTTGTGAGTATGTAAATATTATAAGAAAAGAAAAACCATCTTTTGTTTTAGAGTTCTTTATAATATGCAGTAAAAGGGAGCATAAATAAAATAACAGAAAAAAAAGTTTTTATTCAAAAAGTAACCCAGGGATGCTCAGATTATTATAATTGTTGTTGTTAGTATTATTTCAAAAATTTTAAAGGAGTAGCATGATTCTTGATAAGGTTGAGATATTAGATAAGGTCCCAAATCACATGGGCGGGCCTTGTAAGCAGAGGTGAGTACGTGGTTTATTTAGTTGGTTTGGTAAATCGGGGCACACACAGCATCGCTCTTGAATGCCCCAACCAATCCAGATATTGCATAAGAATTCACGTGCTGTAATGCTGTCCACGTATTTCCCAATTAAATAATTTACTTCCATCATTCCCACGCGTTAACACTTATAGTGTGTTTCACGCACGAAAAAATTATGAATTCGAGGGAAAGAACATCTTCAATACACCGCGCCAATGTATAAATTTTATAATTTTAAGCATAACCATAACGTTGATAAAATGAGAATATATATATATATATATATATATATATATATATATATATATATATAAATTTTAAAAAAGATTGAGACGACATAAAATTATATTTAAATTCATTAAAAATGATAAAAGAAAATTTTTATGTTGACTCAATTTTTTTAAAATTTTCCCTTTCTTATTATTATTATTATTTTTATATCTATTTTTTTAAAAAAATAAACTCATAAAATAAATCTTGATTATTATAAAAATTTTCAAAATAAAATATCCAAATGACACTATTAAAAAATCTCATTATAAAGTATTATTATTATGCTTTCTTCCATCTTTATCCACATTGTTTATAGATCACCACAAACAAATTCTCTCTGGCCATGTATGTTTGTCTTCCTAGTAAGAATATGCCTACGATCCATGCCGTATTACCCACTTCCACTAAGATAACAACATATGGTCTCCTACTCACGCTTCACATTCCTGAAAGGCGCGTTTCATAAAAATCTCCCATTTTTAAACGCACTCCCTCCTCTTTCATCACCAGCTAGTTTAATTTCTTCTTTTGTTTTCTTCATTAATTAGCTGTGACCTGCATTAAGATTTTTTAAAAGCTGTTTCTTTCATGCCTTGCCTGCTCCCTATTTTGTCGTCCTCATATATACACCACCCAATTTACACCACATGTTACTCAAGATTTCCAATATAGGTTAACCTTGGCTTTTTGTACCATATATACTATCATTTTAAGCACAATTTTGTCACTTCATGCAAGTTTCACTGCATTTTTGTAATTTGTTGGAGTCTGCTATTTCTTTGTCAAGAATTTAACTTGGTCATGCAAACTATTGTTGACTCCGAACGACGAAGAACCCAATAATGTTTTCTTGTTAGGATCAAGTTTTTTATTGACAGAGCTAGTACTTTTATGGTTAAGATACAACCTGAGTATATATATAAAGAGAGAATTTGGTTGCTTTCGACTCGTGGGGTTGTGGTTAGTTGGGATTGGAGTTATAATTTTCATTAATGGAGTTGAAGTTTTTTGATTCCAAATCAGCATCTCTATCTGAGAAAGCAGCCTTCCTGACAAGGACAAAATCAAGTCCGCTTTCCAGTTTCGGACATTCAGTTGGTGTTAGATTTTCTCAAGAGTTCAGTTCTTGCAGAGGTAAGCGGGAATGATGATGAATCATTGGTATTAGAAGTGCAAGTACATGCGGTGTTGTTAGATTCTTCGTTTTTGTCTGTGTTGTTCAATGTTCTTGGCAATCAAGCAAGGCATTCACACATTTCGATTTAAAAAGGGTTGTTTTTGTTTCTGTATCGGAAATTTCAGACCGAATTTCATTTCTTTGAGCCATTATTTTTTTCTTTTGAATTTCCCTTTGTGTTTTACTTGAGGTTCTTCTGCCTTTTTGCTAATGAGTCCTTAAGCAAAGACCAAGTGTTAATACATAACTATAAATGGAAAAACATGTCTCATTTCGTTAGGTTATAGTAGCATTTACTGGTTTCCTGCTCTCTTGCTTGCTAATTTGGCATGGTTGGTGATTCAGCATTTCATCAACAAAATGACATTCTTTTCTCATTAAAAGATGAGATAACGATTTTTTTGCTTCCATGGCTTCTTATGTTCAGGAGTATTTACGAAGGCATCTTATTCGAGTAGTTCAAGTGGTACATATATACCAAAGAGGGCTATTAGCTCAGTTGACGAAGAAAAATTTGCAGCAGAGAATTACTTCTATCAGATTAATGGAACAAGCGGTGCTAGCACAAGTCTGTTTTCCAGAAATGTGAAAGTACTTGATGCCTGCGATGATGAGTATGGGGGAGTTGTTGTTGATCCAGCTAGATTACCTGTCAATCCAGATGCGTTTGCTTCAATGCTCCTTTTTTCTCTTTCTCATTGGAAAATGAAGGTAATTTTCTGCCGATGCTTGAAAAACTCCTATATGACTGCTACAAAGCTTTAGTCAAATGTGGAGCCTTAAATTGTCTCTTGGATATCCCATGTTGGTCAAATTGACTGCAGGAAAAGAAGGGAATTTGGCTTAAGTTGCCCCTGGAACGGTCAGAGCTTGTTCCAGTTGCTGTGAAGGTAACTTCTTCTTATGCTCAAAACTTAACCACACTGAATTGTTGCATTTCATTGGCTTTAACCATCTGCACTTCATACACTCAAGAAAACGATGAAGAATGTTGGCTCATTCAATCTTTTCGCAAGACATAGATTTTGAGTGGGCGAGTAAATTGATTTACAGGAAGGTTTCGAGTACCACCACGCAGAACCAGGATATGTGATGTTGACTTACTGGATTCCTGAAGGACCTTGTATGCTTCCTACTAATGCTACACATCAAGTAGGTGTTGGGGGATTTGTGATCAATGAAGAAAACGAGGTATGATTATTGAGGATAAGAAAGTTTCTAAGTGATCCCTATTAAGAAATATTCACAAATTTTAAAGCACTCAAATCTTTACTTAGCATCTGCCTGCATATCCAAATAATGTTTCACTATTATAAATAACAAAAAAGAGTTTTTTTTGGCTGAAATTGGTACATTTTTCTTTTAGCCTGCTGTTCATGTGTAAAATATGATGATCCCCAACCCCTGTTTAACATAAGAGAAATGAAGTCAGCCAAGTAGCTTAGTTGATTACATCTGTGAACCGCCTTAACTGCCAATTACCTTATTGTGGTCACAATAGAATTATTAAGGTTCTGTATCTTGAAAACAGGGGAGCCTAAATAATAATTTGCTTGATTTTGTGGACTAGCAATTGATAATTTTGACAGCTAGTCCTTCAGCACTAGTCATTAGAATGGACTCGATTTATTTATTTTTTTAAGTTCTTTGCCAATCAATTGCAGGTTCTTGTAGTACAAGAGAAATTCTATGCTCCGTCATTTGCCGATCTTTGGAAAATACCGACTGGTTTTATTCTTGAGGTACGTAATTTGATCCTCAACCAAGGAATCAGCTATATGAAAATTCGGAATGAAAGACCAGCCTTAATAGTTTTATATATATGCATATTTTTCAAATGTCAATTGTTTTATGTTGTTTCAGTCAGAAGAGATTTACACAGGAGCTGTACGAGAAGTCAAGGAGGAAACTGGTGTAAGAATCTCGTACTTCATTTATTTACACTAAATTAAATTCCTTTCCTGCACCATTGACGTTTATCAGCTTACATCAGCATAATAAATTTACATTGCTTGATCATGTCTTGCCAATAATGTTAGCTGAGCTTTTGTTTATTTTGCAGGTTGATACTGAGTTTGTGGAAGTTATAGCATTCAGGTAACAACTATTGACATTGCCTTACTGAACAGTTCTGGAAATGTGCAAATGATAAGGAAGAAAAAAGAAAGAAAAAGTTGACATTCTAATGATTAGATTCTAATGGAGCATCATAGATTCGTAATCAAGTATATCTAGCTACAAAGATACTATGACTCATGAAACCTTCTAGAAACTTAAGTATGGGACAGCATGCATATCTATATAGGCTCTTTCCAACACTCTGTCTAATGTCTCCTTCAAATCCAATTTCAGGCATGCTCACAATTTGGCGTTTGACAAGTCAGATTTGTTCTTCGTTTGTATGCTGAAACCATTGTCAGCTCAGATAAAGGTTGATGATCTTGAAATCCAAGCAGCCAAAGTAAGTACCTCACCTTACTGATGTGTTCACATTATTCATTCTTGCGTAAATGATTGTCAAAACTTCGGAAAATTCCTCTACCTGGTCTAAGATATAATTCAATCCACAGAAGCTATGGTTTATTTGTCTGATGCATCACCAATTTTCTGATAGCCCAGATGATGATTCTTTATAATCCATAGTGCTACCTTGCTCTTTTATCTGGCCAAATGGCTACGGGATCATTAGTCTACTCTCATGATTTCTTGAACCGAAATGCGAAAATAATACAATAAGATTGATATTGGTATCAACAAAGAGTAACGTAAATTGAAGCTGAGCTAGGAGTTTCTCAGTGGATATACAAGATTGGATTTTGCTTGCAGATTTGTGGACACTGACTACAGTCTCTAAATCTCCTTACTTATCTTGTGTTTTCATCCTGCAGTGGATGCCCCTCGTTGAGTTTGTAGCACAGCCACTAATCCAAGAGGATGGCTTGTTCAGGAAAATCATCGATATTTGCATTGCTCGGTTAGGGAAACATTACTGTGGACTATTGCCTCATCAAGTAGTTTCCAAATTCGATGGCAGACCATCCTGCCTGTACTACAATGTAGTTGACGCTGAAAATGTCAACTGCAAAGGCGATTGAAGCCATCCAAATAGTATTTTACGATGACCAACATCCCTTGCATGTTGTTTCCTTGAATGCTTCTGGTATTCCCCCTTTGAAGCGCACAATGAGAGCAACAATAGTGCAAGAATACGAGGTTTGACAAGTTAAGAGACCACATAACTAAATATTGAGTCTTACGTTTATGATGCCTGATGTGTAACGTATAGTGTCAAATATCTTTGATTGTAAATATATATTGTTGAAGAATATGGTTATTGTAAATTTGTGAGAGTCACCAGTTCTTCTGTTACAAGATTTTCGCTTATAATTTCTCCCAGCAAGTGGCTAATTTGTTAGTTTCGGCGCTAATATTTCTACTAGCTGCCTTTGTATTTGACATACCCAGGTAAAAAAGTGGGACCAAATGGGAACAGCGAGGCACATAACGAGGTCTGCTGGAAAGATATGTCATCAAGTATGAAGACCGAAAGGCTTTTCGCGTTCGAAAATTTCCAAAAAATGAACTGTTGAACCCGTTCCTTGGTCTAAAACAATGAGATGGATACTCACAGCCAATGAAGAGACTCTGAAAAGCCCTCATTCAATGAAGATATGTCATGAGAACTTTCTATTGTCACCAAACTATCAATAAGTTACATCGAAGGGCAAAACCCTCCAACACGATACCAGAGAATGCCAACATCAAAAAGAAAAAAAAAAAGATTATTCTTTCATCACTACCATGCAACTTGAAAAAAATGTCAAGTACTGCATGTTTCAGGTTCCTAATCCTACACGCTCTAAAAAATTCATATTGATCAGTATTTCAACAGAGACACAAATCTTGATCAAACCGCAACTTTGTCATCCGAGCGTTTCTTAATTCACCAACAGGATTTCTTTTCAGGTACACTAGCTCAACGGCAGAAACCATTAATCTTTATCGCCCATCATTAGTCATTACGAACAACATAATCTTTATTTACTGTTTTGAGTTTTTAGGACTAATCAGTATGCACCGTGATTTCCTACTAACCAAATGGGGCATTATTTTGGGTAAATGTAATCTCCTGAAGTCATCCGAGAAATGGAGTGGAGCCATTCTGTTGCATCTGAGAAGCAAACTAACACAGGACCAGGGGCAAGCATTGGGGTCCTGATACCCATTCATAGTTAAACAAGTGTCGTATGAGAATCTAATGCTTGGACCTGTATAGGAAAGAAATACTTTGCCATATTCAACAAGACTCTTTCTAAGAAAAGACACAGCATATGAAAGCCCATTATGTATGCAGAAAGCACAGGATTGTTTATAGTTCGGTGTTTTGGTTGGTCATCTGCAAAAGACCGGCATTAAGAACTTTACTAATCACAATACTAAACCCAGTTCAATTAAATAATATAATACAAACTAATTATGATGAACTTAATTACAAACTTCCATTATTTTTCATTTATCGCACAAAAAAAAAAAAAAAAAAATTTCTCCCTGAGTTCATTTTAGCCATCTCTTCTTGACAAGAAAAGGTATAGTAGAAATTAAAAGTCAACTTTGTCACAGATGGAGAAAATTTTGGGTCGGCTCAGCTTCCTTTTTCCAACCACCATTTCCAGTTCTTGGGGCAAAGTTAGAAAATGCCGTGTGCGATGCGTGACAATGATATGCTCGAGCCAAAGAAGGCATGGTCCCCTAGACCCAGAGGGGTCACAGTTTTCGGTTTCTGATTTTTCCATTTTCAAGTATGGTTCCAATTATTATATTTTTAATTGGTTTATTTGTTCAATGAATTAACATAAACACTTGAGAAGAAAGAAAGAAAAGACCTAAACGCATTTCTTAGTGTTCAATTAGCTGCATGTAATCCTAGACGTCCACCAATGAAGCAGTCGTTCGAGTGATCTTGAATATCAATCATAACCACCAACAACTGATTTGACAGGTAATGCAATCTGTTCAGTTACTGCACATTCTAAGTGCCATATGTTGTGTTTGAGGGCTGAAATCCCGAATTTCAGCCACTTGTAGCTTCGATTATTGGTAGGTAAAGGGTAATCAAAACCAAAACTTCCACTTGGCCACTAGTTTTGGACTGTAACTAACGTTTCTATTTGATGGAATGTTCAATCATTTTGTGATTTTGCAGACGCTTGGATGATACGTTGCTTACCAAGTTATATATATATAGAATTCCTTCCGATTTAGCTTGTGCTTATTTCATTTAATGTGTTAAAATGCAGTCCACACTAATGTTATGCAATAGCCCAAATGAGTGGTGACCAGAGGCATTAACATGATTTGGATCAGTTTGATGCAGAAAATGAAATGTCCGGTTAAGTAGGGTGTAAAGCCTTTGGAAGCTTAGCTATGTCAATAAATGAATTAGCTCCACATATCAGTTAAGATTTGATGTTTTAACAAATCACCTTAAAAATAATATTTTTTTAAATGTATTTATTAGCTTTTATGTGAATTCCTAGTTATTATAACTTCATTGAAAAAAAGATTTATTTTCCATATACAAGAAGTTATTCTGAGAATACTTTTTAATATTGGAACATAAAACAACACAAGTCATATAATTTTAATTATATTTTGAAAAATCAATACATAGAAAATAAAAAGTAATAAATGATGCATCTATCATGTTCCTTGGCTATCAGAAACTCGTCAGGCAAATCAACGATTGAATTTAATTAATGATATTCTAAAATTTAAAATTGTATGTAAAACAAAACATGTTGGTAGAAAAAAATATGAGATCAATATAATTGGATTGGAGTTATAAAGTGTTAAAATTGAACCTTAGTTTGGAAGGTGGAAAGATGGTAACTATTTTCTGACAAAAAATTACATGTCTTGGGTCTGTCATTTTATGTCCATGCGAGACCAGTTGATCATCCATACTTTTGACTTATGTGATACAGAATTAAGGAATGTTTTTTCGGTTTTTAAATGGAGGCAACAAACACTACTGATCCATAATTCATCAATTAATGTTTTAATCAATTAATAATAATAAAAGTTCACTTTATTAGATAGAAGCTCTAATCATTCAATCTATCTCCCTTTGGAAAAACAACAACACGGGAAAGTGATTCAACCCTCCCCACTTTCCGATCTGAGAATCCCAGTTTGGAAAAACCAAATCTCTCGTAAGCTCTCTGTTTCTCCCTGAGTTTGTTATATAAATAATATTGCCTTTCTTTCTTTCCTTCCTTCCGTCTGTTAGAATTGAATTCTGTGCAATTCTTTTCTACTAATTCTTTGTATCTAATTTTGATTTTTGCTAGGGTTTGTGGCTTCACTCGCATTTTATTGCTAAAATGACTCTCTCTTTATATCCTCTGTTTGGTTGCCGAGAAAATGCAAACAAAGAATTAAAAACAAAACACTCGAACATTTCTTGTATCTTTTTTCTTAGTTTCTTCGCTTTTCACAGCAACCAAACAGATTGCTTAAACTTTCCTAGCTTCAATTTCTCATGCTGTTCTTCTAATTTGTGTCTAATTATTTTTTTTTTAGGGTTCTATTGAATTGCTGTAGAGGATGGTGAGATTGTGATATAGAAATTTTGGACTATAAATTGCAGAGTTGTTGATTGCGAACAATGCGGTTGTTTCCTTTGAGCTCGAGTTCGAGTTCGAGTTCAAGCTCGGAGAAGGAGCAGAGTAATGGAGGGAGCAGTAGCGTGATGTTGTATCTTAACATCTATGATCTTACACCTATAAATAACTACCTTTACTGGTTTGGTCTCGGGATCTTCCATTCCGGTATTGAAGGTAATTTATTGAATTTTAATGGATGATTAAATTATTTTGTTTTGCTTTTTGTTTTTTCTGTTAATTGTGCACAATTTTGGCATTTCTAGTTGAATTTTGATTGGTGGGAGTATTCTAGGTTGTTGACTTTTGGCGTTTTAGTTGTGCATTAATGGAAACTCCAAGTGATAATCATTGTTTGACCTGCTTAGATATCTTATTTTACTCTTGGCGATAGGGTGTGTTAGGGTAAAACTTCTATTTTTGAGACTTTCTAAGGAGGGCTGAAGTTCATAACGAGCGAATCATGAGTCAAAAAAGTGTAGCATTTTTTACAGGATTAAGACGATAAGTTTGGGTTTGCAATGGGGTAGATCACCTAAGAATAAGGACTCTTGCAAATGTATCTTTATGATGCATTTATCACAGTCAAAGAATATTTCGACCAATATAAATGGATATGGAGCATAAAGATGCAATATGCAGTAACATAGCAACTTAAATGTGCTTCTAATTCTGAAAGTAGCAATGCAACCTCATATGTTTTTAATTCAAAAGAGATACTGTTTACAAATACGCAAAGTATCTGTCTTTATAGATTCAAATAGAATAATTATTGTATTCAATTTTTCTTATAATGTCTGTCACCCTGCACATGTAACATGACTCATCTCAATCTTGCTAAATTAATCTGGAGGGAGCAAAGAGCAGATTTGTGCTAGTTTATTTCCTTCAGAGGTCCGCACATTCACAAACTGTTAGACCAAAAGTTCTAAATTGGAATGGATTGTGAGCAAGACAGATGGTCTACTCTTTGTGGACTCATGGTGAAACCATGTATTTGTGGAAATATGCTAACTTTTAGAAATGGTCATTAAGAACATTGTACTAAGCAACATTTCCTACTGTAATGGAATTGGATAGCACTGCTTACCAGACATCCTTAAGTTTTTATTGGAAAACTGAAGTATTCCTACAATAACTGTAAGAGAGGAGGGGGCAGGCAAATGCACTGGAGATATATTAAAGGAAGGAAGATGTACTTGAAAGGAAACTTCTGGCTCACTTGGAAGCTTTTCCAAGGCCTAAGAGCTGTTTTAACAGATAGAAAAATAAACACAGAGCTTCCTTTCTCACAGAGATTAATTTCACTCCCAGAATGACCATAGAAACTCACAAAGCACCTTGAATAATTTACCTTGGAAAATCTATATCATGTCAGACAGTGAAACCATAATGCATTGTGGATCGCGGATGAGAAAGAAAATGATTGAAAGATTTCTTTTGCTTTAATAATTTTGCCTTCAACTTTTAAATATATTGTAGAAAAGAAAGTTTTATTCATCTATATTAGGTTCTGTAAAATTTATAAAAATGTTATCCAAATATTGAATTCTCTTGTGGCATATAATCTTGTATGTTGCAAGGTTTGGAGTTTTTCTATGCTTTATGTTACTATCAATTAGATAATATAATTTTGTAGGACTTATATTTTCTTGAACTCTGATGAGATCAATTAAGTTATTTGGGTGTAGCTGTGAAGAAAATGGTTGCATGAACTTGCAAGGAAACTGACTAATGATTTGTGCCTTGTAATTTTGTCATGCATGAGCAAATCCCCGGTATTTAGGCAGTTTCCCCCTTTTGCAACTGTATGGTTTTCAACTAGAAATGCATGCCCACTAGTTTTTATTTATTACTCATTATGCATAAGATCGCTAACATAGTGGATTTGAGATGGAAAATGACATATTAACATGAGATTTGAAAGAGAGAGATTTTGTGGTGTCTTGAGAAATAGCAGGAATTCTCACATTGTAAGATGTCTCAACCATTCAATGATTAATCACACCTGATTGAAGCTTTACCCACTGGAGTAAATCAAAAACTTATCGGGATGTAGGAAAGTTTCCTTTAGATGTCAATTAGTGTGGCCCTAAGATTTGAATTTATTTTGGCAAGATATGGAAGGTTTTAACTCTCCTTTGCCTGGAAAGGCATATTTAGGATGTGATAATTCAAGGTTGCTAAAGTCAACGTCATTGGTGTTGTGCTATGCCTAGTTGCTAACTGTGAGCAGGATTGGGACAGATTGCCTAATAGCTGACATCAGTTATGTAGGGAACTAAGTGATTACCGGGCACAAGAAAACCAGTCAAGTTCTGTAGCATACTATTCCATAATTTAGAATTCTCATGATTGCAAGATCCCTCAAGTTTGAGTTTGCTACTTCACCTACAAGCATGATACTGTTCTTAGAATTTGCTGTGATGGGTGCTTTTAAGGCAGTGCCATCAGATCTCAGCTTATCACATCTCATCATATATGATGGCACTAGGGTTATTTTATCAGATACGGGCTGCAAGACACCTTTAAACCTTATTGGTGTCTTGTGCTTGCTTCTCATGTGTTTCCTACAGTTCCTATCAGCATTTGGCAGATCTCTAATCTGAATTACCAACTGTGGCTTTTTTAGGAAGTCTAGGTACAAGCAGATGCACTCTCAAACTCCTAAAGAAAAAAAAAAATTGTTTTAATTCAAATTCGGCAAAAAAACTATAACAGCTGTGGTAATTTGATAATCCTTAATAACAATTCAAATTGACCTCGATTTTGTTGGCAAGTGAAACCAAACTAAATTAATATTTTCTAACCATAATGTTTCAATTTCGATGATTTGTTTTTCACTCTAACATCAGGTTTGTGTGAATAATATATCAACTCGTCTTCATCTTTCTCCAGCATTTCTATTATGAGAATTTTGTGCATTAACCTGTTGCAACTCATCTTTTAATCAGTGCATGATATGGAGTATGGCTTTGGAGCCCACGAGTACCCAACCAGTGGGGTGTTTGAGGTGGAACCAAAAAGTTGTCCAGGCTTCATTTTTCGACGGTCTGTGGTATTGGGCAGCACCAACATGTCTCGTTCAGAATTTCGGTCATTCATGGAACATCTTTCTGCAAAATATCATGGAGACAGTTACCATTTGATTGCCAAGAATTGCAACCACTTTACTGATGAAGTCTGTAAGCGATTAACTGGAAAGCCTATTCCTGGATGGGTAAATCGGATGGCTCGATTAGGTTAGTCGTATATCATGTTATATAAGAAGCTACTTTCTTGTCCACTGGAGATCTTCTAGACCTAGTACTATGCGCACTCAAGTAACCTGTTATTTTCATAAAAAAAAAAAAAGTATCCAATTTTAAATGCAGCTCTTAGTTGGAATATTGTCAAACCTGGATCCAGATTTGTCTGCTCCAATGTTTGCATGTTATCAACAACTGTTTAATAACCAGCATTGCTTTGTATATGTGCAAATACTATATAACTGGTTATATAGTGGTTTCAAAAGTTGTGGGCAGCCTAGCTGCTAAATATCTTAACTCCATGTTTGTGGATTTTGCTGTCTAGTTTTACATTTTTCCCTATCTGATAGAGTTTTTATTTGAAGTTTCAGGTTCTTTCTGTAATTGTTTACTGCCAGAAAGCATACAGATCACAGCAGTTAGACATCTTCCTGATCATCCAACATATTCTGGTAAGTTTGTTCGATTAATCAAGGTTCTCTCCTTTGTTAGTTCAAAGATTTTTGGTGTAAGATAACTATTTTTCACTCCAAGTTGATGAGAGCTCTGTATAAAATTGCATTCCTCGACATAGAGAATTGACTTGGTATTCTTGATTAATTCTTTTTTGGGTAAGAAATTGGGTCAAAGCCCAAGAAAAGAACCAACAATTACATGTGACGTGGATGTAGAGCCACCCCATTAACATCCTGGTACAATAAATCAGAAAGACCTCAGGAGCATTTCTTTGTTGATAATGTGGATAATGGATCATAATAGGAATGATTGAGCACCATACTTGAACAATGAAAATCTGTGGCTTAACTCCCCACTGGCTGCAGATTGCTCTAGCTGTATCATTAGTTGTGACTTTAATGGTGATGAATCATGGATATTAGGAAGTTTACTGTGCATGGCTTTCTTAATTATTCTACCTGCATAGGTGGTCATTCATGTATAGAACAGTGCATATATAGTTAGGGAATCCATTTTCATTGAAATGGTTGGGCTCTATGGCTTCCTGTCAGTGACTGCTCTGATTGTTAAGAAGGGGCATTGCACTTCTACTTTGGTGTGTGCCCGCAGAGGGCAGAGGGAACTTCTGCATGTGGTTGTTTGATGTTTTTGATGGGGATTATGTTTTCTTACCTGGATCCTAACACCGATGCAGATGATGATGATGATGGATTGGAATCTGTTGCGTCATCTATAACAGCAGGGAGCGAAGAAGAGGGTTCAAATCATCATCTGCTAACTTCACCAAATGGTGAAGTTGCATTTTTAAAGGAGAAACCAATGAGGCTAGCAAGGGAACTCCTATAGGGTTTGTCATGCAATTCCTATTCTTTCCATCTTGGATCTATCTATTGTTTGTAAGTGTATGATCTTCACTAGATCAGTGAATGTGTCTTGGCTGAATTATTTAAATGCTGCAGTGAATGTTTCCTAGTATATGATGATCTTGCCCCAGACTTCTCTAGTTACTGATTTTTCTAGATATATGATTATACCTCAGCTTCTTCTTCTACCAAAACAGTTCACGATTATACAACCCCTCATTGGGCTGCTGATGTATGATATCAATTTCAAAGAAGCTTGCTTTGATAGTTCATTGATTGTGATTGGTGGAGTACCCAAAGGTTTTTTTTTTTTTTTTTTTTGTAGGCGCGCACACACGCGTTGATGCGTATCATTTGTACCTCTTTTTTTTTTTTAGGAAAAAAAAAAGTTGGAATTGACATGAACTATGATGCAAGTGAAAAGGTCACGTTCGGGGTACGCTGATACAGTAGAATGACGTCCAGCGTGTCAAATATTCGATGAACTGATTCTATTACTTTTTGTATGGCGGAATGGGATTTGTTTATATATTAATTTATTAAAATGGAAGTTTAATATTGTTTGGGTAAATTTCAATTTGCCCCTTCAGGTTTATGTGTTTTTTTCTTTTTTTCTTTTTTTAACATAAAACCGTTGATTTGATTCAATTAGATCTTGTATCTTTCATTTTTGTTTCCTTTGTGTAAATTTAAATTTCATCTCTAAAGTTTATTTAATATATCATATCAATATAATCTAAAAGGTAAGATTGAACAAACTAAAGCTGAAAAAAATCGTTAAACAAACTCGTTTTCTTAATAAAATAAATAGGATAAAAATATCAACCAACACTGTTGTTGTTTTCCATACGCTCTTTATTAGCATTTCATATATGTATTTTTTATTAAAGTTTGAACAAGAAGTCTACTAAAAAAATAAAAAATTAAAATTCCATATGAATGAAATAGTAATTTAAGTATAGGATTGTTTTGATGTCACTTAAGGTGGTTATTTGCACATATCAAATGTGCTATTTGATGACAATATCAAAGAAACAAAAGAGACATGATCACGGTGAATGATTAGAAAGGTGAATTTTTGTTCAAAAAAAATTAAAAGAGAAAAATCAATTTGAATCTTAATTTTTATTCAACTATTGTATTGACAAAGAAAAATGGTGTTGATAAGAGAGAATTGAAGTTGGTAGGATTTGAGAATTTCTTAATAAACTAACCCTTTCAAGTTTTATCATTTTGTTTTGCAATAAAAAAATATATTCTCTATTAATTTTCAATTTTTATTTTTTTTAATTTCAATCAATATATATATTTTACTTTTGATGATATTGAGATATTTTATAAATTTCAGAGATGAAATTTAAAATTTTACACATGTGACAAAAATGGACAGACGGAGAATATTGGAACAAAAGTGAAAGATGTGGAGGCTGATTGAAAAGAAAAGAAGAAAGTTATGGGGGTTGATTAGAACAAAAATGAAAGATATGAAGTCTAATTGAAACAAAAGTTAATTTTAATTTACCTCATTGAGATTTGTGGTGATTCCAGTTTCACCTCCTGAAATTTCCGATTGTAACAATGTCTCCCTTAGGTTGAAAATATTGGATCAACTAATATTTTTTTCAACTCTTAAACTTTTGAAATTTTACCTAATAGAATTATTTGTAGTTAGTTTATTGAGATAAAATCTTCTACTTTCAATTAAAAGGTACAAAATGCATTATTATATTTAAAAATATAAATAAAAAATTATAAAAAAAAATAGAACATTTATCAAACTATCATGTCCATAGATATATTAACCGTTCAGTTAATACCCGATGAAAAATAATTTGTCAAAAAGTTTGATTTAAATCCTTGTAATTGTTAAACAAAATTATTTTGGTTTTTAAAATTATTTTTACAATTTAATCCTTTATTTAAAAGTTTTTTAAGCCCTTATGTTTTTAGAAAATCACTTTTCTCCTCAAATTTTGAAGTTTGTGCAATCAAATCCCAACATGTTAATTTTTTTTTATTATCCAGATATCTTATATTTTTAAATATAAAATATACATAATATCATTTGGACCTTGTGAATTATTTTAACAGGATCTATTTGATCAAATCTCAAAATTTTTTAAACTGAAAAAATATTGATACATAATTGAAATTTCAAAAGAAACATTGGTAAGTAATTGAAATGTTAGAAGGGAAATTAATACAATCGAAATGGAAATCTCAAAGGGTGAAACTACATTCTACCAAGACCTTAGAAGGTAAATTGAAATTAACTTTTAAAACAAATCAAAAGTTTTTGTTAAAACTGAGAAAACACGTCTACCTTACAAAAGTATATTAAAATTTACCCATACATCTCAATTTAGATTATTTGAAATTTTCAAAAGCTAAAAGTATTCGCTCCTGAATTTTAATTTATTTGAAATTGAGTCTTTGAACTTTAAAATTAGTTTGGAAATTTCTGAATTTTAAAAATTTTGATATTTAAGTGCATTCCTTTATTTTTTATAAAAAATAACCAAAAGAAAAAAAAACGCAGAAAATAAAAAAGGAATTAAAACTTTCGATATTCAGAAATATCTCTCTCATCACTCCCCCTTATTTCTCTCCTTCCTCGCCCCATATACGTGTGCATTATCGCTTCACCAGCCTTCTTAGTAGCAGCATAAAGGCCTACAATACCATATCCTCGCTGCCTGAATGTAGTGGACACTTGCATTCCAACAAATCCAGCAGCTTCAGTGACCAAAACCTGAAACCTAGTTCTTGATTTGGGTCGTCCCTAAAGGATAATCTGGTTCTTCCAATCAGGGTCTTCTAAATCACTCCGTCTGTTATTGGAACTTGAGTGAGGGTAGTGTAAAGAGAAGAAAAGGATTAGGCCAAGGAAAATGCAGGTCCATGCTATTAATTTAATGAGTGAAAATGGGTTCTTAATCTGTCAACATTTAATGGTTTGTTCATTCTGGTGGGTTATTTTTTATTTTTATTTTTTTTTTGTTCAAAAATTTTGCTGGGAAAGTGAAGGAAAATTCGAGACTTTGGTGGGTTTTTGATGAAAAGTGAAGATTTTGAAAGGAAGTTCGAATCTTTGGTAGGAAAATGAAGTAAAGTTTCAGTCTTCAGTGGGTTTTGCGAGTTATGCTTACCAAAAAAAAAAACAGAAAGAAAGAAAATTTTGAAAGAAAGTTTGAGTCTTTGATGAGTAAGTTGGGGGGGGGGGGGGGGGTGCGTGGGTGGGTGGAGGGAAGGGGAATGGTGAATTGGGTTCGAATATGATAATGTGGAGAAACTGGATTGGTGTTATCTCTATACGGGAAAGTTAGTTTTTTCTTTTCTTTTTTCTTTTTAGATGGAGTTTTTGTTCTTATTGGAGAGGTAAATCTTTAGTTAGTTGATTGCAGTTGATGGGTTATGATCTTTTAGATTTTTTGAATTTTATCTGTTTGAGGGGGAAGAAAAAGAGGAGGAGGAAGTTGAGAGAGATTTCTGAATTAGGAGCATTTTATTTTATTTTTATTTTTTTTTTACGTTTTTTGTTATTTTTGACGAAAAACTAAAAGATAACTAGATTTTAAAAAATTATCCATTCAGCTATTTTCAATATATATATATATGCACATTAAAGTAATCATTTTAGTACAAGAAATACAGTAGGTTGTTGAAATGCAAAGAAGCTAAGAATTGTTTGCTTTATCGTCGGGTACAAAATTAGAAAAGGAAAAGGAGAGCGTCAATTAAGGCTGTAAGTAACTTAGACAACCGGAGCAAAATAACTTTCTACACTGAACGTTTCAACTCATCAGACCAATGTCTCAGTTAGTAATAGTAATTTATCTCATTGACCTTCCGCTGCGAAATTACATAAAATTTGGCAAAGACTTTCGGAATCTTTTACAAAGTCGTCAAAATTACGTGGTTTTAACAAAACACAGTGTTCAGAATCTTACAAACGGTAAGAAGAAAGAAAAAATCAGAGGAGGACATGAGGCCGAAGTGGTCTTCACGGAAAAACCCACAAGTAAAGTCTTTGATAATTAGTCAAAGTCTTTGAGAGAGAGAGAGAGAGAGAGGGAGAGAGAGAGGGGGTGGAAGGGCAAGACAGGGATGTGCAGTTAAAGGACTAAAGAAATTGCAAATATCTCCATCAACTTCTAGGAAAAGATTAAAGTAGAGACTTCGTAAAAGAGAGGCTCGTTGGTTGGTTTTTAGACCAAGCCCTGGAGCTACTAACTTCGTTCTCATCCCCAGATTTATTAGTTGGGTCCCAAGCAACCTCTCCACTGTCTCCCCAACACGATTTCGAAGCCCATTAGGAAATGTTCTTGGCTCGAAGTTTAGCAATACTTGCAAGAAACCCCGTTACTTTATGTAAAGCAAATATTCCTTCACCTTGTTTAGCAAAAGCAAGAGAACAAAAAAGTGAGAGTAATAAACCCAACACTGCAATCATGTTACTTAGGGCGGCTGGAGCTTCTATGACTAAGACTTCGCACTCTCACCATCAATTAAAATTTTCTGCCTTCCAGTCACTTAGGGTGTGCTAGACTTTCTAAACCTTTCCATAACTCAGAACCGTTCTTTGGTAGGCAGGAAATTTGTCCACAAAAGGGGTGCCTGATAGGAAAAGTAAGAGAAATCAATTAATTGCCTTCTAAGTAACTTGTTATTATAACATTTTCTTCCATCTTGTTTATATTCTGATGGGAAAAGTTACAAGGCAACAATTTACGTACAAGGCAATTAATTTATAGCCAGCGGGAAGTAACTAGCTACTTTCTTGATAAGCTGAGACAGTTGACTATATCTATATGAATGGATTTTCTTTGTTTACATCTCAATCAGTTAAAGGTTGTTCTGCGAGATCTTTCTATATGATATAGAGCGGAAAGAAAAGAAAACTCAGCCGAACTATATAGTATTGCCAGACCTTGTGGGTTGTGTTTTTGTTATTACAAACAATGGATGCTTGTATTTTCTATGTTCTTTTCTCCTCCATGTTTCTGACCACAAAGGCTTTTGAATCCATCTGCCCAATAGTTAAGTGCAGTCATGGAGGTCCTGATATTCGTTTCCCATTCCGAGTAGTTGGTCAACAGCCCCAGCACTGTGGTCACCCTGGTTTCGAACTTTTTTGCAAAGAAAACACCACTATGATTCATTTTCCAACTTATGGACCCTTGGTTGTGAAATCCATCTCTTATGATATCAGAAAACTCAGTCTTCTTGACCCCAAAAATTGTGTCCATGAAGTCTTTCTCAATCTCAACCTTTCTGGCACACCTTTCCAGTACTACTATCTTTTGAAGAACTTCACATACCTCAACTGTTCAACCAGGCTTTCGCCTTCTTTCGACGAAGTTTCATGCTTGAGTGGCTCCAGGCATCATGTTTACACTGTAGAATCTTCGTTGCCCACGCCAGTTTCTTGCAGGCCATTGAAAACTATTCCCATTCCATTTTCATACAGTTCTTATCTTGCTGACAATAGTTTTGGCCTCGGATTAACTTGGAGTTTGCCTGGATGTGAAGATTGTGAAGCAAAAGGAGGCTCGTGTGTGTTGCCGTCCAAAGCAGGACTTAAAGCAGGCTGTCTCGGCATAGAACATGATAAAGGTAAACTCATAACCTTTTGTAATCTTTGCATTTTCTTCAGATCCTCTCTAACATAGCAATTCAATAGAATGGTCAAATTTCGTCTTTGTATATGCAGTTACAATACAATAAACAGAAAAAAGCTTGATCGTTGAATTTAATGTTTGCTATTTTGGAAAACATTTCCTGTTTGTATTAAGTGTAAATTAAGGATCAACAGCATAAATTGCTTGTGTTAATCCCTGTTTGACTGCTAGCTACTAGACATTGTGCTGAGAATACTAATCTGATGCCTGGAACAAGTTGATCAAATTGACATTGACTTTGAATTTTAAACAAGACTAGGAAAAACCTTCTGGGTATTTGATGAAGTCTCCTTCTGGTACCAGAAAGAGAACCCATTTTCTAAACTGTCATACTACTGGCTTACATTCCCCATGCTTATAGGTATCTACGACACCCACTCGCATTTCTTCACAATTATCCATGTACTTATGTCTTTCATTATTAAGAAATAAATCTTAAGCTTTGTTGTTGCCACTTGGATCCTCTGCTGCCGTTTTTAGATGCAACTATATATATATAATTTGATATGGACATCAGTTTAACATTCACATCTTAATTACTTGTGCAGGTTTTTCAATTGTGCATTTATTGTCAAGTGGAACTGGGTCTATCATCTTGAACATTCTGCTGTGTGTTTTCGTGGTGACAACATTGATTAGAATAAAAATCTACTTTAGGCAGAGAATGAAGGTGGATGAAGAGGCAGAAAATGAGAATCTACTTTAGGGCGAGTATAAAAACGAACGTTTTGTTCCCCAAATGCTCGAGACAACTACTAAAGATTGAGATTTCAGCAGTACATTATTGACAGAGGTGGATCTCTGTTGCTATGTCTTCTATAAAAAAACAGACTTGTCCTGATACTTATATAACATGACAAAAATTGGAAACAGGTCTTCACTAGGCAAGCAGATTCTGTTCTATCAAGTCCTGAAATCTTGTTAGAAATCCTCAGCAGTGGAATGTAGTGAAAGGCGGAAGGAAGAGACTTGGATTTTATTATTATTATTATTTTAGTTAAAACACGATGCCTAAGAATTCCATCTTATTGTCTTTTCTGTACTTGTATTAACTTGTAAGATTTAGCTTTGGAAGATTTTATGAAATCGAAATCATTGCCTTTCAAAAATAGCTACCAGAATCTCTCTCATCGAAAATTTTATTTTCCTTGGATCATTTTTTCACCTTTTGGTCTAGATGCAGTAAGTGGCTATTGCTAAAAACCATCTCTTAAAAGATGTGCTATAGATAATAAATCATATCAAGATTCTGGTTTTTTGTTTTACAGGTTTCTCTGTTGAAGTTGGTCTGGAAATTCCACTAAAATGATCACAGTGAATAGGTTCTTAAAACATGCTTACTTATGCCACCCTCTTTTCCCTGTGATAAAAATCAATATATTCTTCTCCTTCATCTGAAACCGTTTGCCATGATGTGTTATTTGAATTCATATATATATACAACACTTCTGAGAGATCGATGACTCTGGCAAGAAAAGGAATGAAAGCAAAAAAATAAAACCCTGATGGAATTGGAATCCCTCCCTTGCTAACTCATAGTCCAAGATTGTAACTGTATACAATAAATTGTCTTAAGTCAGACAAATTTCACAGATTCAACATCTTTGACATGCCTACAAGTTTAATTCATTTATAACTAGAGGAAACACTGACAGAACACATATGTTGAGCATTTAGCCACAGGGAACTTTTGATTCCATGACAGAGAGGGCAAGGAGTAAATTTTGCATCCAAACCAAAGCAGAGCTGAAGGCTTCCATTTCATTGCCAAGGCATCACTAAAGCACTGCTTCATTATATCTGTTGTTTCAGTATTGATGCATTTGAAATAATGCTCGCGTTGTTTCTTGATTGCTTCCTATTTCTTTTCTTAGTTGCTCTCTCTCTTCAGAAATCCTTCCAATTTCTCGAGCTTGTTCCTCTGCAAACCTTCGAGCTTCAAGACCAAAGTAAGCTTCTATCACTAACTTCAAATGATTGTTCATGAACTGAATTTTGAAGCCACCAGTCCACTAGTTTTATGCACCTCCACCATTGGTGAAGCACATCTTCATTGATATCCACGATACTAGTCATGCGCATGCTCTGTGTAACTCCACATACAACAAAAAATAAGACAGATTTTACTTTTCTACTTGACAACCAATCTTCACCGATATCCCCATTTCTGGCAAACAATTCTTTCATAATAGGGACATACATGCGAAGGGCCATGTAATCTTCGCTATCCACAAAACTGTTCTTATTTTCCTCAAGATAAAGTGGTATACATTCTAATCTAACATTAGAATCAAGCCTCTCTACGAGCTGATTAAAGGCATCCTTCAAAAGTTGGCTTTTTACATCAAGCTTTCCCTAGATCTCTGTTCTTTACTGGATATTTCTCTTACAGTTGCTGAAACCGAAAAGCCCTCATCTCCTGTTTCTCTACCTCACTTAAGGAATTGATCATTTCCTCCAAGGTCATAGGAGTCTCGATCTTTATATCGTGCTCCATATCTTTCAATGCCAACTCTTTGATAAGCACCTTACCGTGGATCTGTCTACCCACAGTCCTCAGTTCCACATCTCCACGCTCTCCTTTTAATGACGATAACACCTAGTACGCGACCCACATCAAACATGTTGATGAGGATATAGGACGCAGAACGGTTTGAAATATGAGAGCGAAAGTTGACGTACCTCATAAATCACAAAATTTACATCTGTGACGCCCGTGAACTTTTTAAACAATTTTAGGGGAGTCAATATTTATTTAAATATGCAAAATTAATATTTCATATTAGCATGAAAATTATATTTATGTATGTATTGATGTTATGCATTATGATTGAATTATTAAGTTCTTAAGTGTGCAAGATTAAATCATAACAAGTGTATAGAGGACATATATAGGGATTTAATTTTTAAAAGTTTAGGGACTAAAGTTTAAGGACTTAATTGAATAAAGTAATAAAGTTAAACGAATAAAATGTAAAATAAATTAACTTAGGGGACTTGTAAAATTTGGACATATAAGATGGGTTATGGATGAATTAAACATGGATGAAGTATAAATTAACATCAAACAAAATAAGTATATATGTGACTAAAAATTGACTTTAGAAAATTTAATGGAAAGTCATGCATTTTCTAAAAAAAAAAAAAAAAAAAAAACCAAGTCAAAGAAATAAAGTTAGCCATAACTTGGCAAAATCTCACCAATTTATCTAGATTTAATTTAACTAAGACAAGGAAAATATTCAAACTAATTAGATGATTTAATATTAATAAAATTAGAATAATTTAGAAAATAAACTTTAGCCTAAATAATTCCTACATGCGACAAAATTCCTCTCATTTTTTCTTGATATATTCGGCCATAAAGAGAAAGAAATAAGGGAGGAAAATTCTAGAGTAATATTAAATAATTAATGTCTAGAAAATCAACAAGTCAAGAAAAGAAAGATGGTCATTCAAGTGGTCTAAATAGTTGGCACAATCCTAACCAATTAAGCAACTTGATTCGGCCAAGTGGAAAGAAAAAACGCCGACGAAATTCTAACCATGATTCTGCCAAAAGAGAGGAGAAAATTCTAGACTTCCTTATGTCGACAATTTAGGTAAAAAAAAATTAAAAAAAACCGGCTAAGTTAAACATCAAACACAAGCACACCCACAAAAACTTATTTGAGTGTGAAAAAGAGAGGAATCTATAAGATAGGAAAAGAAGAGGAAGAAAAGAAAAGAAAAGAGAGAGAGTTCCAAGCCTTTAATCCTAAGGTTTTAACCTTGAAAACCTTTAGGAAACAAGAAAGGAATCAAGGTAGGAAGCTGGTCTGGTAAGGGTGCCAAATCTAAACAGATTTGGTCGAAAGTTGGAGGAGATAAAAAGGAGAAGAAATCTAGATAGCTTAGGCCGAATTTTTGCAAGGAAGAAGGAGGAGTTTTGATGAGCAATTCAAGAGGTTTTAATCCTAAACTAATATCAAATAAGTGTAATCATCTCAACTACATCATAAGATATAAGAATTGTTAGGGTTATTATGTGTTTTTGCTTAATTAATGATTAGTCATGTGTGAGTGATTGATAATTGGTTGAGATGATGATTGATCATTGGATTTATGATGGTAATTGATGTTTGATTATGTGGATCATGTGTTGAATCAATGATTAAGAGATGAAATTAGGCTAAAAAAAGATTTAGGAATCTTAAAATGGTTGAATTCATTAAGTTATTGGTTGTGGATGTGTTTGAGACAAATCAGAATTTTTGGTGGATGATATGCCAAATTTGAATTTTTAGTAAATTGGTATAATTTTCATGTGTTTAATGATAATCATGTTAGTTTTAGTTTATTTAAGTTGTATGAGAATATGTTCGTGTGGAAATTGATTGATTCCATGCTTGATTGTGTCTTAGTTTGTTCTTGGTAGTTTCAGCCAAGATTAATTCTTTGTATATGTTGATGTGATTTTTATGTTATATGATAATTATGCTAGTTATTGGTGACATGATTATTTAGTAATGAATTCATGTGGTAATTAATTGGTTTCTTGTTGAAATTGGCTATGGAATGGTTCTTGGTAGAATTTGGTCAAATGGTCGTTTGGTTAATCTAGATGTTTATTCACGTGAAACGGTTATTTAAATGATTATTAATTGGTTATTGGATGATACATGTTTAATTGAAGTTTGTGTTTATGTTATGACCATTTGGCCAACACTACTTGGAATGGTTTAATGTTATTTTGTGTTAATTGGTTGGTTATGTAATGGACATGATGATAATATCATTGGTATGATGTTGTTCATTGCTTCATGAATAAATGCCATGTGTTTTATGGATGGTTGATTTTGACCTACATGCTTAATGAAAGTTCATGGATCATGTATTATGTTAGAAATTGTATTCACGTCATGAAATGGTTTCATCAAGTTTCATGTTTTCAAAGACAAAGCCAAGTGCATGATTTTCAAGAAAAATGGCTATATATGTTCAAAGTCATAAGAAGCCTCGCCAATGGAATGATCTAGTGTATACTCTTGGTATGTTCAATCATGGCACATAAAGATAATGGCATCATAGGTGATGTGTCTACTTTTCATGTTTCTCATAGTCATGATTTTCATGGAGAGCGTAATAAATATACATTAGAAAGGATTCGTCCAATCATAGAAAATGTTTTTCAAAATCACAAAAAGTATTTCATTGCATCATGCATAAATAATAACACTTCCCGAGCGTTAACTCACCAATTTGTCTTGTGATGTAAGAAATTATGGATACACAAGAACTCGTTGTGAAGTTGATAGCGAACCTTATCATACCCTAATTTTTATCCATTTCTCTTTTTTTTCTTTTCTTTTAGTTTCTTTTACTTTAGTTTGTTTCTTTTAATTATTTTAGTTCATGTTTGCTTAATTAAAATAAAAAACAAAAATTAAAAAATTAATTAAGGAAATTAAAAAAAAATATTTATTATCCGTAATTTTAGACAATATATATATATATATATATATATATATATATATATATATATATATATATATATATAGGGAATAGAATGTGATGATTGTTCCCTCCATTTGTACAAATTTCTTTTGCAGTTTCTTGCCATTTCTCTTGCATCGGTAATAACTTGCTTCCCCTATTGCAGCCTACCAACTTGCAACACCTTAATTACCTCGTGTATAAACCATTCACTCGAAACTATCTTCCAACCTTCCGGACAATCCTCTCGCCACTTCAACCTTTCCCCTTCTACACTACAATAGCTCCTACAGACTCCCTCCTCAAATCAACAATTCAAACCGCAACTTGTAGCCATTGAAGTATCCTTTGGGTAAATCACTTTGCAACTTCACTACCAACAATACACATCCTTGCAACTTCACCGGAATACCTACTAGACAATTCCAGTCTCCCTCACCCCTACTACCGCAAGTTGCATTATAACCACTTGTAGCCTTCCCCTACCGCATTCATGTACTCGGTAGCCCACAATCAACTCTCTCCAAGTTAATCTCCAGCGAAGACTTACACTCGCGACCACCCTACTGCCAGACCTACATTGCAAGCAATTTATAGTCCACTCATCACCCTAAACATATTGCCACAGTGTCCATTACCCCGCACGACCACAATTATAATCCTATCAACCCCCTCCTCCAACTCTATATCCCGTAATAAAATCCCTCACCATCATGGTGGAGAACCAAACATTTACACACACACACACATACACAATTCATAGCATAAGGAGGAGGGAGATTGGGAGTTAAAAAAAATTGAAAGAAAAAACCAAAACCACAAAACAAACATCGACTAAGGAAAAAAGAAGAAGAAAAATTGAAACTATAAAAAAGACGGAGAGAGATTGAATTTACCCAAACTAAAACTGCAATCCATATCATCTTTAATCAATTCTCGCTAGGTAATCTCCTTTAATTTTCTTAATTTTAGATTTTACCGTCCATTTAGATTTTGTTTTGGAATTTTATGAAATTGAATTGAAATTGGGTAAGGGAATAAAAATTAATACCAATTGAAAGAAAGTTTTAGAGAATCTAAAAGTTAGGGTTTGGTAAAAATTGGAGAAGAATTTTAAAAAATTGATTTAGGGGTTTTTGATTGGAAAAGGAAGAGAAAGAAGAAAAGAAGAAGGAGAGCATGGATGAACCAATTCTGGTTCGTCCATAATAGGTTTGGGAGAAGTGAGAAAGCAAGAAAAAGAAAAAGAAGGGAAAGAGAGAGAGGGATTCGACAAAGAGGAAAAAAAAAAAAGAGAATGAGAGACGAAGAGAGAGAAGAACGAACCATTGATTTAGGGGTTTTGTTTTGGAATTTTATGAAATTGGGTTAGGGAATAAAAATTAATACCAATTGAAAGAAAGTTTTAAAGAATCGAAAAGTTAGGGTTTGGTAAAAATTGGAGAAGAATTTTAAAAAATTAATTTAGGGGTTTTTGATTGGAAAATGAAGAGAAAGAAGGGAAGAGAAAGAAGAAAAGAAGAAGGAGAGCATGGATGAACCAATTCTGGTTCGTCCATAATAGGTTTGGGAGAAGTGAGAAAGCAAGAAAAAGAAAAAGAAGGGAAAGAGAGAGAGGGATTCGACAAAGAGGAAAAAAGAAAAAAAAAAGAGAACGAGAGACGAAGAGAGAGAAGAACGAACCATTGCTAGTTCGTCCATGGTGAGAGAGAGATTCGAGAGATAGGAGGTAAAAGAAGAAGAAAAAAAGAAAGAGAGAGAATGGTTGGAGAAGGAGAGAAAGAAAAGAAAATGAGATTTGATCCAAGATTTTTTTTTTTTAAAAAAGGAGTTGGTTGTGTTTTTAGGCTTGGATTTATTGAAATGATGTGGGCCCGACCCATGTGTAATTGGGCTGGATTGAAATTCAAAAAAAAAAAAAAGAGAGAAAAATCTTGGGTTAGACCAATCCAAACAAAAAAATATTTATGTGTCATAGTTTTAATTTTAAATTCTATGCATGTTTGTTATTTCATATTTAATTTAGATTTTAAATTGTCTTTAATTATTTTAATTAATGTAATTTTAATCTTACATTTGTGTTATGTATTTTGTCAATTTTATATTTAATTTTTTTGTAATTATTTTAATTAATTTAATTTTAATCTTAAATTTATTTTATGCATTGTTATTAATTTCGATTTCAGCATTTGAATTTTCTTTAATTTACTTAATTAATGTAATTTTAATTTATTTGTTTGATAATTAGATTCAGTAATTGATAGGTAGAGAATTGTCAATTCTCATAATTATTTAGGGACTTTTAAGGATTGATGACGATCTTCCGCCCAAATTAAAAAAAAAAAGAGAGAAAAGAAAAAAATGAATAAAAATAAAAATCATAAAACGTTTAACAAAGTCTCCTATCCGACAGGGACTATTGTTAGTTAAAAAAAATAATAAATCATTTTTAATAATCGGGATGTTCTTTGACACACTAATTGTGTGAGGCTTAAAGTGGATCCGATGTTTGAACCGACGTGTCTCCCGATGAAGGATCCAATGATTGTTTCAATACAATGCCATGCTCAAAAATGAAAAAAAAAAAAAAAAAAAGCTTAATTTGGCTTGGAAAATTAGATTTAAAAAAAATAATAATTTGGCACAAATAAAATACTTTAGAAGATGAATTTAGGAAAAGACGCTTTTGGGTGATTAATGTCTTCCCAAAAATGTAACCGACTCCTTACCTTCGAATCTCCGAACCAATTTCTATTTTAGGTTCTTAGTTCCTTCAATACTAGATGAAGACTAAAAACTTGTAAATAATTAAGTAAAATAAAATTAATATTTTTTTTTCGAAAGTTCCATCCGACATCGCGTACCGATAAACATGGAAGAAGATGAGCTTGTCAAAGTGTACTCGTAAATTTAGTACGAGTTTAACCTATTCCTTTCCGAATGATTTAGATACTTTGTTAATTTAGAACATGAATGAATGAATAAATAAATATTTGAAATGTTCATAAATTAAGTAGATGGTTTGGGAGGTTAATTTATGGTTAGACAAAAAGAAATAATTTAATAAAATGGAGGTTAGAAGTTAAGTTAATTAAAAGGGGTTTCAATTACATAAAGGTTAAAATAATAAATGGTTTTAAATGGTATGAACTAAGTGGATAAATTGGTTATCATTCAGTTAAATTCGAATTTCCAAGAAAATAATACGATTTAATTTAATCGGTTAGTTGAAATGATAAGGAATTAAATTCATTATCTCATATTAAAATAAAAATAATTAACCAAATTTTATGAAAATTAATTGAAGAAAATTAAAGAGGCAAATTGCTTAATTTTAATCCAAAGTGTTATTTTAAAATATTTAAAGTGAGTTTTATAAATATGAATTTTTAGGCATATTTTGGGTAAACATATAAGTAAGTTTTATTGAATGAATTTAAGTTAGAAAAATTTCACCCCTAGTTTTGAATAAAGGATGGACCTAAATGTTAAAAATTGAAAAGCTTTCACGGTAAATGTTAATTATTTAGAGAGGTAAAACACGAGATTTAGTATCTCACATTCATTGCATTAAGAATGTGAAGCACTATCAGTAATACTTTCAATTTACTTAAATTCTACGTCGGGAGTATTACAACATCAGAAATAAATAAGCAATCTATACATTTGTAAACAGTGTGCCTTACATCTGTTCAATCCTTGAAAGCATTGCAATCATAGTTTTATACCGAAGACAGTTGAAAAAACGAAAGCTTGTCCTCCCTTCATACTCCCTTCATAAAAAAGAAAGCTTTTATTATCTATTATTATTATCTAGGGACCGTTGTGTTAACAGAGTACCTTTCGGCATACCAACCAAAAGTAAAACGTGATTCACATTGTACTTAAATTTACTGTGGTTTGCATTATGAAATTTGGAACCTTGTCAAGAAGATCGCAACATGCCTCTTTATAAGGACAAAGATCCAGAGTGAATTATAAATTAGTCTTTTAGTTTTTAAAATGAAGTAAACAATATTTGCACCTCATCTTTATAATTTTGTCTTTGAATTGCCAGAATTACCCCTAAAAGCCAGCCTTGGTTTGTTTGGTTTTATTTAAAAGGCTAAATTGTACTGCTTCAGATTTGTGCAGATGGCAGGGTTCAAAAGTCAGGTTCCATTTGATCATTTGAAGAGACTTGCTCGAGCTTACCATGGTCTTGACGCTAGAAAAGATGCGGATGCTACCGTTTCCAAGTTGGATGAAATGATCACAGAGGTTTCTGGGAAGTTAGTAGAATTAACTCACGCATGCAGAATTAGAGGCAATGAAACAGAACTATAATCAGAATATCGAATCAAGAAAATCTGGTCTTGTTTAATGTCATCGCGAAAGATGCGTAGGCATTTTCTGCCTGTACTCAAAACAATTGTTAGTGTTTTAATTTATAGGAATGTAGAACAGATTAGGTTGAAATATGTTGCTTTCCTTTTAGAAACTAGCATTATTTATTTACTTGTCATTAGCCTAACGTCAACTGAAGTGCTGCAGTCATGCATATAGATGCTGGCATGCTATCACAATTATTTAATACCTGATCATAGCCAAAGAACTCTACCGGTCTACCCCCAGCTTTCTCTTCTCGACTGTTGCCCCGTTTATTGAAAATACATACATAATATATATATATATAAACACATAGTAGCTAGGGGAAAATGATCGATCCCAGCAGTAATACCAGATGATCTCCATTGGACGTGATCTTATTCCTATAATATTTCTTCTACACTTGTATTGTTGCTCTGTTTTCACGATGAACGTATATTTTATAATGCAAGTCCTTTGGGGTTACCAAGAAAATAGAAAACCCATAACTGACCAACAGAGGAGTAGTTCAGTTGAAACGATCAAACTAAAATATCTAAAAAAATCTGGAAGTCCCATTTGACCAGGACAACTAGCTGGCAGTACTGATTGTTTATTTTATAAATAAGAATGATTTGGAGATTTTGGACCATAACTTGGTGGTTCTTGGCCCAGTACTTCTAAAATGGGTTTTGCAGCAGAAAGGAGTCTTGGTGGACCCTGTTGCATTACAAGTTTTAAGTTGTGTAGGGAACTCGTGTCCTCTTATCATCATAATTCATAGCAATCACAATCACATGACAGAACAATAATTGCTACCTCCCAACTCCCGAGTCCAATCCTTTATGTAACTAAAATATTCCATCCCCAACTCCCTACCCCTCGATTCATAACAAAGCAGTGAAAGAAGACTGGTAGCAACTCTTTTCGTCGATTGCTTTGGACAAACCAAGTATGCCCAAAAAAAAAAAAAAAAACGATGAATGATTAAAATTAATATTACCAATAAGCAATTACGTGTATAAATTATTTTTATTTTTATTTTTATTTTTTCAATTGCTTAGTAAGGTGCATTTATAAGACTGCTACACACTTGAGTGTCATCAACTACCTAACACTTTAATGACGAAAATTAGCCCTAAATTACTATAATTTGATGATTTTGGATTTTTATTATTGATTTAAATTAATTAAATTCTAAATCATTATTTTTTACAAAATAGGGTTCTTATTTATTATTTTTAACAGTTAAAGAGTTGACGGTCAATAATCAATCCTTTGACCATTAACATTTTAGTTTTTTTTTTCTAAAAAAATTAGTTAATTTTTTCAAAATATGATTTACATGAGATTGTATGACAATTATTCATTAGATTTCAAAATTAATAACACTCATAAAAAAATTAAAAATATAGATAATAAAAAAATACATATATTTAAATAAAAAATAAAAATTCAAATCTTATTTTAGAAATAAAATAAAATATCCATACTTATATAGTTGAAATGTTAGCATGTTGATATGTCAATTTAATATATTTAATAGAAATACTTAATTAGAAAAATATTGAAAATTTAAACTAACGATAATCTAGCAATACTAGATTTAAATATTTTATTTTATTTTTAATCTAATCAATTTAATGGTTATGTCAGTACGAGTTTAACATAAATATTTGATTAAAAAAATTGAAAATTTATATTAATGACAATCTAATTAATACTAAATTTAAATATTTTATTTAATTTCTAATCTAATCAATTTAATAGTTATGTCAGTATAAATTTACTAGAAATACTTGATTAGAAAAAATTATAATTTATTTTTTTATTTAAATATATCTACTTTTATTTTTTCTATTTAATTATTTGTATTTTTAATTTTTTTTATGACTATTATTAATTTTGAAATCTAATGAATAGCTACTATGCAATTTTATGTAGATTATGTTTGACTAGGTTTTTTTTAACCAAAAAAATAAAATGTTAACGATCAACCTTTTGGTCATTAAAAAATAACGAGTATCATATTTGTCCAAAAATAATAATAATTTAAGATTGAATTGGTTTTGGGGGCTTTTTTTCCATTAAACCACCACCTAGCAAATAATGAGTTGAAAAATGGGACCATTTCACACAGCACGGCAAAACAATCAGTTGGGAATTGAAAAATGATCTGTTTTCACCGTTCAGACTTCTTTTTCCTGCCAACCCCATAAAACCCATACACACACAAGGCCTCTGGGCCTCATAAACGTTGAAAAAACAATTGATTTATAACTCAGTATTTTTAGTTTATAAGAACTAATCAGTTAGTCCTTATGGTATAAAACTAACTAAATAATCCCTTCAATAGAATTAATCATCCTCAATTTAATAATTATTTTTCCATAATTCCTTATTTATTAATCAACTTCTCTCACAATTCATGTATCCTTTCTTCCTTCTATTTTTTCATAAGATTCAAAAATTAATTGTAAAATACTAACATTGATTAAAGGACTGATTAATTAGTTTCATTAAACTTAAAGGACTGCTAAGGGACACTCAATATTTTATTATCCCAAGAAATCGTTCTAATTGGCGACTTCAAGATGCAAAAGCAACAAACAAACATGCTATGATTGTTGTTAGATCAGATTGATTGTCCAAAATAAATGCTACTGCCAAGGGGCGGTGTTAGAATCGTGAGATTTTTATTGCCTGCATGTTTTTAGCTTTCATCCACCAACCATAACCTACCACTTCAAATTCTGATTCTCCTAGAATTTCTACTTGTTTCAAAAGTTCCTGGAGAAGCTCAAAATAAAACACACCATTTTTTTTTTTTTTGGCCTTTTCTCTGCAAAAAGAAAGAAACAAATCACTACCATCACAAAACAAAAATCCCACCTTTCATCATGGCTTTTCACTGTCCTTATATTGCCCTCCTCTTCATTGTTTTGATTTTTGTAATCAGCCCAGTTGCATATTCCTTGCCCTTTATAGTTCTTCATGGTAATCATCTTCTTTTCTTCTGCGAAGTTTTTACCTTTCTTTTTTTTTTTTTTGTTTATTATTTGATATTTTTTTAGTGATCCGTTCTTGTATTTGGCTCCTTTCGCTTTCTGGGTACGTTAAATTTAGTCAAATAAAAGCTGATTATGGAATATTTTGGAGTCCGGTTATGTCTATTTGTGGAAAGTATTCTTGTTTCTCTGTGTAGTTGACTACTGAAGCGAATTATAGTGCTCTCTTTTTCTTTTCTTTTTTTTTTCCTTTTTGAGAAAATAATTATACTGTAATGTCATCACTGGGTTTGGCAATTGGCATTGAGCAGTGACATTAAAATTGTGTTTGGATAAGATTCCTAAACAACAACATTGTTTTCGATTTAATCTGTTCTGTGAAGAAATTTAAAAAGGTGAACTTTTGAGGGGATTTAACATAAGCTGAAGATTAGGAGGAAGGTAATAGAGAACATAGCCTGCAGATTTATAATAGTGGAATTGTTTCTTAACAACCTAGTCTGCCCTTGCATACTCTTTTATTTTATTTCTTAGGAAGAAATTAAGTAAATGAAATTATCCTTCGTCTGCATAACATGAAAGTCATGATTTACGTGTGAATATGTTGCATATTGGAAGGAGAATAAAATGGAATCTAATTTCACATATGAGAGAAATTCTTGAGTTAGAAAAAGACTTTAACTTGTATGTTTTCCTACCAGGTAAACTGTTTGTTCAATGTAACACTAAAATAAAACCTCTAGAGAATGGAAGTGTGTGATTTACCTACAACTGTTCTTATATTATAGAAGTGAATTCATAATACTAGGACAGAGGGCATATGATGCAGATGTAATCAGACTTGCTGATCACAAAGTTCACAATATAGAGTAGCTTTCTATTTACAGGAGTTCGCAAGAAAACAAAAACTACATGTGTTGCATAATCTATTGAATTCTTGTGGTAGGATTTTCTTATTACGGCAGATAATTTATTATATAGGTTTTCATCCCCATGCATGAAGTAAATATTGTGCAAAGTTTGTCTAGAATACGAAACACTTAGTATTTAGCAATATTTGGATGTTCTGCAGATTTTAGACAATCAAACTATCTCGTGTGAATTATTTGTCTTTAATGCAAAGTTGAAATTAGATAAATGCTTTTGTTTCATTCAGATTTTTTTTCCCTTAGCTTCCTAAATTTTTTCGAACCATATAACATAGTCATGGATACTATAGTTCCATTACATTCTATTTGCTCTTATATTTGTTTCTACGATTCATTCTTTTATTATATTCTTCCTTTTATGGCAGGTATTGGAGATCAATGCAAGAATCGAGGAGTAAAACAGTTCACTGAGGAACTGGCAAACTTTTCTGGTTCTCCAGGATATTGCTTGTATGCTTATCTACTTTCCTATCTTTGTTTCATTTAAATCATCCTAATATCTATGTTCTACAGTCTAAATCATTGCCTGCTATTTAAACATTGGATTGTATTGAAGTGGTCACTGAGAATGTGATCCTGCAAAATTCTTATGTGAAGCTTTTTTGCTATGATTAGCCAAACCAAATTTCTTTTAAACTTCATTGTGCTCAAATGTGAGTTTTAATGTCTTTCAAGGCAAGCCTTGAGAATTTCACCCTTTTTTTTATTTTATTTTTTTGTCCTTTCATCCTTATAATGGTTACAACATGATTGCTAATGAGGACCCCATAAATGAATGGGCCCTGTTATATATTTTTTCTTCCCCAAATGTGGTTCCATTGCATCGATCACTTTCTTTTGTGCAGAGAAATTGGGGGTGGAACATGGGATTCCTGGTTTATGCCTCTTGACGAGCAGGTAAAGTCAAGTGAAAATACTACCAAGGCTATCATTTCAACATAGCATTTCTCACTCTCTTACAATTTGAAACTATCATGTGTTTGCAGACAGAAATTGCTTGTGACAAGGTGGGAGAGCTCTGTGGGTAATTGTGGTTAGTTTTTTGTTTTATCTATTTACGTTTATGTGACCACTAACAGTTTGTTGCTACATCTACAGATCAAAAAAATGAAAGCATTGAGCAAGGGCTATAATATAGTTGGTCTCTCCCAGGTAATTTATAGTTATTGTATCAGTTTCATGCTGCACATATTTGTTTTGGAACATCCTCTCTGTCGATGTTTATTTTGTTTGCACAGTTAAAGAGGTGCCTTGTTTTATTTCAGCATACCCTTGTTTTTATTGATCCTTTTTCCTACATGACCTGATTACTGTTTCATACTGTTGGAAACCAGTAATAAGATTTTGATCAAGAACAGTCTTACAAAGCTGTAAAGGCAAATCAATTACATTTTTATCCCCTCCTCAGAAGTCAGAACATGATATTGAATAGTGCACATACAAATGTATAAAAAACATGCAAGGTTCTAAGGTCTCCCTATCTTGGTTATCCAACTATTGTTATGAAGGTTACCTAAAGAGAGAGAGAGAGAGAAATCAATGTCATCACTACCTTCAAGTAACTTGACATGTCAGTACATGTGACCTGAGGCATGGGGTTATGCAACCTCTCATGGAAAATATTCTTCATTTAGAATTTGAGAGTTTATTGATGCATCCTGTTGCCTCTTAAGTAAATTGGTCAGTTGTGCAAAATCCATTGCGGGATTAAGTCATGTTGATATTCAGTTTAGCTAAGCAAAGGGCTCTTCTTTGGATTATTGCCTAAGATGGAAGAATTAATGCTGGTCTCTTCGATTGTAAATGTTGAATGCAGCATCAATTATTCATTTCAACAGAAGTAAATTCTTATGAATGGAATTTGTCATACATTTTTCTCCATCAGTTAATTGATCTAGGATATTCTCTTCTTAAAAGTATGACACTGGGGCTTCTCTCTTTTTGGTGGGGCAGAGGTTTAAGAAGCTGACCTCCCACTTATTCCTTTAGCACATGTAGTCTGAATCAGATCACTCCCCTCAATGCCTTCATCTTTCTCATCTCATTCTGCTAATTATCCTTGTTTCCATCATCTGTGTATTATGTGGAACTAGTTATTTTAAGACCAAAAGGTGTGAGAAAAGGAAGAGATGAAGAAATTACTGTCAGGCAAGAGCGAATGGACAAAGATAGAACTATAGAGAGAGAGAGAGAGAGAGAACAAGTTATATTTCCTTGACTGAATATTCTATTTAAGTATGGCCCATAGGCATTGGTCCGATTCTGTTCAACATCAACTAACCCAACCGCCAAAATTAACTAATAGCTTCTAACTGACTAACTTCACAAGATTCTGCTATCTGTCAAGTTTCAACAGCATCAGTTTTAACCATTTGCATCATGCCATCTGTCCCTCCAGAATTTGTTTGACTTTAACCTGCAATAGTTTACCATAAATCAGAATGCTCTGTCCTATAAATCATGGTGAAGCTTTCTGTTGAGACATCACAAGTTTTTTTCTTGTCCAGAATGGTTTGCATTGAAAGTTGATTTTATAATGAGTAAAAAGGATGACTAATTTCAGCTACTGGCCTACTTATTTGAGCTTGTTGCAGAACTGTTTTGAGATGGCGTATCTACCATAAGGTTCATAACTTGGAAAGATATTGCACTTGGTTTTTTATTGGTGTCCAATCTCATATGCATTTTAGGATAAAAAGATACTTTCTGGGCCAATGGATGAATAAAAATGTAATAAAGTCCACAAGAACGACAACCTAATCTGGATTTATTATATTTAACAATTTAGAGTTTGTTGCTGGCAATAAAAAATTGTGGCATTTTTACCTGATTTCAATGGTTAGACAGCTTCCGTCTAAGGTTCTCATTCCTTTTTTTTTTTTTTTTTTGTTTCCCCTTGGTTTAACAGGGCAACTTAATTGGTCGAGGTGTGGTAGAGTTTTGTGATGGTGGACCTCCTGTAAGCACAACCTCTATCTGAACTTCTTTAACCTTCCCTTCTGAAAATACTTTTATTGTCTACCATAGTTCCTTTTGTTAGTGCACTGAGAAGTGTTGCGTTAGGTTGATCAATATTTTGACAGATCAATTTTTTATATAAGATTCTGAAAGTATTTTTTAAAAATATATTTGTGAATAACAAATAGCTTCTCTTTCTCCAAACAGGTTAAGAATTTCATTTCTTTAGGGGGACCACATGCTGGCACTGCCTCTGTTCCTCTTTGTGGGGTAAGCACTTTCATGGATTATCTTTATTTGTACTTCATCTAGATGTCTCTGCTTATGCTTAGAAATGTCGTAGCAGGGTTTAATGTGGAAAAATACTTTTGATGGTCAGCTTTAAAACCAATGAAAATTGCAGAAAAGCCCTTTAAATTATCTATACCTATTTGTGATGATAGAAAGTGGAAGCAGGTTCAGCTAATACCCTTGCTTCAACTTGAACGTTACATCTTCAACTCTTATGATAAAAAACATGTTGTGCATGGCCTTGTTTCAAGCTGCAAATACCAACCACCTTAACTATATATGAACTTGATTTGCATGGTGCAAAAATCCTATGTGGTTATAAAATGTCATTAAACTTTTTAATCAGACAATGTCAAAGCTACTGCTATGTTACAAAGCTTGCCTGTCAGCCTTCTGTTTGGTAGTTTGTAGGAAGATTGCATCGTAATGGGACACTATTCGATGTTATTGAAAATGAAAGGGTCTTTCTGACTTACATACTTGTGGATGTTCTTTTTCATAGATAGGAGATCAAAGATTTCATACTAACGGAAGATTAATCACAAATTGCAAGTTGTTGTTTGATTGCAGTTCACAAATGGCATAGCTATTTGTTGAGAATTACAGTTTCTGAATTTGAAGTTCAAATGTATGGGGTTGAGGTACCAATTTATGGAGTTGAAACTTGAAGGTTGGATCTGGGATATAATGGTACATACTTAATGCACAGAGATATAAAATTTAAAGCACAAAGGAGTCCTGAGTGTTTGTTTGGTTGGTTCGGTCAATTTTTGAGGAATTTCTCAAGTGAACTGACTATTTCTTTATAAATGGTACTGAGCAGTGCCATCTAAGTGAGTACCAAAATAAACCAAACTTAACAACTTAAGTTTGGTTGTGAATTTATTTTGCTTTCTGGACTGATTGAGATCCAATACTTCTAATCAAATCAGTTAAGACTGGAGTCTTGCTGTACTTTCCACTCATGAACCGGTGCTTGTGTTGATTGTGCTAGTAGTTAAACATGAAGGGAATGCCTTTTATTCAAGATGGTCTCGCATCTGTCTATGGATTTGAGGCTTCTACACAAACAAGTTGACAGGAGGTCTTCTCTCATTTTTAAAGTGGATGCTTGCCTCCTTTTATCTTATTTGGTCAATACAGGACTTGTGAAGTTTGTCTCCCAAATTGACCAAATACAAAAAGAGGAGGCCTTGCATCCTCTTTAAAAATGGAGGGAAGGCTTCTTATGACCTTACACGTGAGAGAGTATTCACATCAAAATAAAGCTATACCGGAGGTTCTGGTCTGCATTATAAACGATGATGGATTCTTAAGTTTAGTCTTTAGTAGTAGGCCCATTATTAAATGAGTTCACCATCTTGCTCTTTAAGATAAGGGCCATTAAGCTAAACGTTTTTTGTAATCTCAGACCTAAGTTCAGTACTACCTATAATTTTTCTGTAGCAAATTTTAGATTGGTTAGTGCAGTTTTGGATTTTCAAAATTGAACCGGACCATAAGGCCAGTCATTAGTTTATAAATTAAAACCAAATCAAATAATCAAAATGTGTCTGTTCGGTTAAGCATTTGGTTCTATCCAATTGATCCATATCCTTACAAAGGTGTTGAGCAGAAGGAGGAAGATATGAGGTTGAAATCAAGTTTAAATATATAGGGTAAAGCACAAATGAATGGTACTGAAACCCAGCAGTATGGGTTTTTGGCACAATATACAGAATTAAAACGCAGTAATATGAACTTGAACCACAAAGGTGTAGAATTGACAGGTTAGGAAGATGAAAATATGATTGGACATCCTTACCTTGTCCGCACTTTTACGAAGGTATCATTATGGTGTACTAATATATATTAGATCTTCTGAATATGGTGTTTGTAAAGCACTTATAATAAAGACTGCTTTACTCCTTCCTATTTAGTTTCTTTCTATGGGTTCTAATTCATATGTTTAAAGTGACTATGCTTTTGCAGTCTGGCATTTTTTGCATACTTGCAGATGACCTAATTAAGTCTGAGATCTATAGTGACTATGTCCAGGTATGCATGTGTCTCTTAGTTTTCTTTTAACTTTTGCAGCACCAAATAAGGGAGGAAAGGATTCCCTCCCCCTTAACTGCTGCCAAATATCATTCTCGTTCAAATATCCCTGAAATGGCTTTGACAATTTATATTTGACACGTGGAATTGCAGGCTCACCTGGCTCCCAGTGGCTATCTTAAATTTCCTAATGTGAGTACAATACCCTATTAGACCAAAACGTTGTTCTTTTGACTGCATGATCTCTCCATTATCAATTTCCTCAAGAAACCTGTATGATTGTGAAATAAGACAGAAATTTATAGCCTGCTTGAGCCAATTTATTGTTGGTTTATGATTTCTTTCTTGTTTTGAAGTGTGTTGTCACGGACTTGATCTTATAAAAGGATGACCATTATAGATTGGTTTTGTTGAGCCCTTAAATCAAATCGTTTTATACTAATTGGGCAAATGGTAGCTCAACATCTTAATGTGATGATTATTTCTTAATTGCCAGGATATTCCACACTACTTAGAGAAATGTAGGTTTCTTCCAAAGCTTAACAATGAAATTCCTGAGAAAAGGAACACAACTTACAAGGAAAGATTCAGTAGCTTACATAATTTGGTGCTTATCATGGTGAGAGAAGAATTTCTTTTTTCTTATTATAGCATTACTTGGTCTTCTTGGCAATTTTATTTTTTATTTTGACAATTGGTGCAATTGTATTTGTTGCATGTTTTTCATATGCTATATTTTGTTTGAATTTCAACAGTCCGAAAATGACAAGGTATTGATACCTAAGGAGACCTCTTGGTTCGGATACTATCCAGATGGGGCTTTCAAGCCAATTGTCCCCGTACGTCAGGTATAATCTCTGTTTTGAAACAAAATTTCAAATCCAAAAATATTTTTTTTCTGGCAGATTTCTGCATATTTAATTTGTTAACTTGGCATCCATGGCATACTGATCTCTTATGAGTTTTTGCTTTTTATGAAAAAAATGAGTGAATAGCACGAATTGCCTGGATTTCATTTTTAACATTTTTTAAACTCTGAATTACAATTCGCTTTTTAAGAAAAATTTATTTGAACTAGAGCTTAGCCATCTTAACCGTGTTTTTCCCCCTTCATGCAGACAAAGCTTTACACTGAGGACTGGATTGGTCTTAAGGCCTTAGACGAGGCAGGAAGAGTTCATTTTGTAAATGTATCAGGAGGTCATCTTGGAATCTCTAAGAGTGATCTGAAAAGGATTATTGTGCCTTTTTTGGTGGACGAAGCTTCAGTAAAAAGTATAGTAATGCCAGGGTGCTTGGACTTCCACGCACAGTCACACAAAATCACCATAGGAAACAAGTAGTGGGCAGCTTTATTGACGAAGCATCAAATGAAAGGATACTAGATGGATCATCCTCTTATCAGTGGCCTCCTTCAGTAAAAAACTTTCTCAGGGAACTAGTTGGTCTGGAGGAGGATGGGTCATAAATTAAATTGGATGGAATATGGAAACCTACATTGATTTGTACTTGACTCTTGACGGGGATCATCAACACGCACAATAAAATTAGTTTCCTCTGCTTTAGACTTGCTATGCCAAAGCAATTCTGATCAAATTCCTTGATGCGTCTCGTTCCATGAAGCTCCGGGATTTGGTATGTATTGTTATGATGAAATCATGAACTACGGCTTTGCACATTAACTATTGGTATCTTGGCATTTAAGATTCGCCATTTTGTTAATTCCTGCATCTGCTAGTCATGAGTGCATGAAATCCAGGTTGTCCAGGAAACACATTTGTACAGAAGTGCAATACGTCATTCGAACTTGAATAAACATGTTCAATTAATAATTTATTGCTCGCTCTCACTTTTTCACCGTTTATGAACAAGTGCAGCTATAGCGTATGCCAATTGAAGCCCGCTATAATCTTGTGCGATTCTCAATCTACTCATGTTGGTTTCTGATTCTCTTTTCTTTTTGGTACGTCCTTCTCATCAGCAACCTGGGAGCTCTGATCACCAATTTTAAATCTGAACTCCATTAACAATACTTTAGTTTGAGACTCGTTTGGCTATGAATAGGGCAATATTTTGTAATGTTTATGAGGTTCAAAACGACGTTTTTTAGGGTGTTTTTATTTTAAAATGACTTCGTTTTCTAAAAAATTTAAGTGATTTTTTAGAATATATTTGGTTTTAGTCCTTGACTTAGATTTGTGTGGACTGGCTCATTAACATCACTTATCATGCAGCACGATATCTGGATGTTAAGAGCGGCGACGAAAGAGATGGAGGAAAGAGAAAATTATAACGAACGCCAAAATGGGAGTCGATGAATTGTCCCAACTTGAAGAGTCTACCGATGGTGTTTATGGTTCTGAAATGGCAAGTAAAAGTAGATCAAAGTCCAAGAAAATAAATTTGTTTTTTTTTTTTCGGTTTTTTTGAGTTATTTTATTTTATTGGAGTTCAACGCCTACGCATGGCCTTTTTTTTTTTTTTTTATAAATATATTTATACTTTGTTTTATTAATTCTTCAAAAATTTATTCATATTTTTATACATCCTTACAATAGTTTTCTGATGTATTTTACATGATGTGCATCCTTATACTTATTTATGATATTCAAAATATTAGTGATGACAAATGTTGAAATGGCGAATATGATACCAAAGTTTATTTTATCAAGAAGTTTGTGCTCAAAACTGTTATGGCTCCAAAATTTTTCTTAAAAAAAAAATTATTCTACTAGATATAATGATATAAAAAATATTACAAGAGGTTAAAATGAATATGAGGACTGAAAGATACATAAATAAGATTAGCAATATATTTCTTGATTTTAGCGAATCAAATTGTTTTTTTATTTTAATGAAAATAAATTAATCAAAAAATAAAGCTTAAATAAGTAGTATAATTATTATCTAATACAGTACGATTTTTAAACCAAGTAAACAATATCATGGTAAAAGAGAAAGAATAGGGGTTAGAAATCATTAATTTTGCACACAAAAAAAAAAAAAAAAATTAAAATCATCAATAAAAAAAATTAAGTTTCATTACTTTTGCACAATTTCGGTAAGAGAAATTAAAGAGTTTTTTTCAACAAAATGAGATGAGAATCATTTTTCTACTTACTTTTTTTGCCTCGAGTGTATCTTTATCAGGAATCAATGGAAAATCGTGCACATTGGCATCCATGGATAGCAGTTAGTTGATGGTCGTTCCAAGCTCTCTAACATGATCCATTGGTCGGTGAAAAACAAAATTGCAAATTGAAAGAGCGATTTGTCGTTCGGTTGTTTTTTTTTATTTTTTAATTATTAAAAAATCATGTGCGGAGCTAGTCTACCAAGTCCAGACATGGATGGACTTGCCTTCTGAACTTTTTTTTTTTTTTTTGTGTGATTCTAAATTTGCTTTCTTAAAATAAAATAATTAAAATAATATTTAGAAAAAAATACTACCATCGTGCTTTTCAAATGAAATTAAAACACTTTGGTAATAATATATGCATATTAATTTAGTATTTATGATGAAATACTAAATTAATGCTTTATTTATACAAATTGATATTTATGAAAATTGATTTTGAATTATTTAAATTCTAACATGATTTTACCTTTAAAAGTTTGAATAGTTTTTTATTGGACCCGGACGCTGTTACTATCTATGAACATATCCAACACCCGAGTTCTATCTTTTGTTGTCTAACACAACTCACAAAGTCTAGCATCAGTTGATTGAATGCTTTATCAATTGAGTCAAATACTGTTACAATCTTTTTATTCAAACATGCATTATAATAATTTTTATATTATTAGATATTGATACAAAACAACCTATTTGTTACCTTTTTTTTTGTCAAATTGATTAATTTTTATTAGTTGACTAACGTTTAACCAATCAAGTGACAACATATTTCCAGTTAAGATAAGAATAATTCTTTAAATGATTTTTTAATTTTTTAAAGCCAAAATAATTAATAATTATTATAAAATTTGAAAAATTTTCTAAAGAAAATTTTTAAATTAATCATTTTTATTAGATTTTAATGATTTTATAATTATTATTGATAAAGAAATTTTTAAAAATATAAATATAAAGAAATTTTTTCAATTTGTAATTGTTTTATAATAATTATTAATACATAATTTTTTAAAAGAATCAATTTTTTCAATTTATAATAATTATTATTAAAGAATATTTATAAAAAAATATAAAGAAATTTGTCATTTTTTTTTAATGATTATTAATTATTTTAATAAAAAATTTGAAAAAAAAATCGATTATTATTGTTTTTGTTTTTATTTTTTAAAAAACATTAGTTGTTTTAATTCTTTATAAATAATTATTGTAAAATCATTAAAATTTTCTTTAGATTTTTTTTAAATTCTTTAATAATTACTATATAAATTCATTTAATAATTAAAAAAAAAACTGATTATTTCAACTTTTTTATTTAGAATTTTTTTTCATTTTTAACTTTATAGTAATTATTAATTATTTTGATTTTAAAAAAATCAAAAAAAACAATTTGAAAAAAAATTGTATTTTTAATTTTAAATTATCTTGTGTCGTGAATTGATCGTTCAAACGTTAATCAATTAATAAAAATTGATCCATCTAACGAGAAAAGTTAACAAATAAATTGTTTTACACCAAAGTTTAATAGCATAATATTTCTTATAATTTTTTATGAACTATATCTAAATAAAAGAATTACAATAACATTTTTAATATAATACAGAAGCACCAGAAAAATTCCACTCCTCGATAGAAAGTTCTGCTAGAAGCATTTATATAAGTCTCTTACGCTCCTGATTACCGTCCCATCAAGAACGAACCTTTCTCCGTCCGTTGCCCAGCATTTTTAAAATTATAACCTTCAGAATGGGAAAATTCAACTTCAAATCTCCTAAAGTGAAGTACTATGTTTATTGAGTTCTCCAAGGATTCCACACTAGCTTAAATTCATGCTTCTTAAATTAGAGAAGAGTCTCTCATTGGCTCATCATCTGCTGGTCCTGACTCTGATGGTCCACCGATTTATAATTTCCTTGGCTAAAAGGTAAGCAAGTCACAATTTGCTAGTCCAGGTTTAAGATAAAAAACGATATGCAGATCGCATCCCAAAGCATGAAAGCATATACTTCCAGGAGCTGCACCATCATTAAATTTACCATAAAGCTCATGTTTCTTACACTTGACTTGAGAAAATAACAACTAGGTTTACAAGGGGTAAAAAGAACATAAGCCCTTTCTTGCCTGGTTGAACATTATTCTTTCACTTTGTACGGGGAAATTAAAAAAAAAAAAAAAAAAACCTTGTCAAACTTATATGCAGTTTCGGCAGCTATTCAATACACATGAATGTCGACACTGATAGCTCCCAAGTGATCTGCCCTGGTTGAGCAGCCGTTCTTCCTGTTTAGTTGCTCCCCAACAACCTTTTGGTGAGTCTGGAGCCATAGATAGGATATTCGTGCCAGAGCTGCCTGACCAGCAACTCGAAAACGACAGACCACACTTAGATCAGTCCATATCTCACTTCTCACAGGTCCAGATTCAAGACTTGGATTATATCCATCAAGATCCGCTTCTGTCACAACAACTACAGTGCCATCATCGAATGGCACCAAACCCTGCAAAACTGCTGGCCTTGGAGTTCTCAAAACTATATCAGTCATTTTGATGTCGTGATCACTAGCGTTCACCTTTAGATGATGATATTCCTGAACAGCCTGCATTTACAACCAACAGCTAGTAACTAATCAAGGATATGCAAGAACCTTGTTAGAAAATCTATAGCAAGTTCCGAGATGTATTTTAAGGACTTTGGGTAAACAATTTTAGTGAGGAAAAATATCATTACCTTTTCCTCTCAATTTCCTCAGTTATAATAAATTAGGAGGAAAAAACAAGGACGTTGCATAAAAGTAGGCAAGCCAGACGATTCTAACAATCAAAATCTTTTGTACTCAGTTTTATGAAGTATGGTAAAATCTAAACAGGAAAACTACAATTTATACAAGAAATTCATAACTTCTTAAACTAAATCACAGTGAAAATGAGGCCCTCCCCAAGCATACCTTCCATTGAGCAGGTGCTAGCAGCACTCTTGGTCGGATTGACCTCAGATGATTATATGCAGCATGAGGTGTCATCTGCTTGTGATGCACCTGCAAATTAAAACACAAATCTAGACCAGTGGCAAGGAAAAAAAAAACTACAAAAAGTTGAATTTCAAATTGAGCTAATGACCAGGTAGCATATGACAATGGTCGTGCTGCGTCCCCGGCCAGCTTTGCAATGAACATATGTAGTTCGTCCAGACAATACATTTTCTCCAAGGAAAAACAAAACAAAAGCAGCATCAGAATCACAAGAATAATAACTTGAAGTAAAATATTTTGGTGTTTCAGAAAGATCACAAAGCAAGAGTAAATCTCACCATGAATGAATGCTACTGCTTGACTTATATCATTCAAGGACGGAGCAAAGCAGTAGTCTCTCGTGGGGATCACCAGATGGTCAATGTCATAAGCCTATCAATATTTTCGTAAGTAAATTACAAAGGTAGGCACTCCAAAAAATTTGAATGGAATATAATATACATGAATGTCAAACAATGATCGTATTGACAAAATATAGAAACAGAACAATTAAACTAAAAATACTAAGTGGAAAGCTGCAAAAGCAGAGAACTGTTTCATGATGTGTAGACTACCCACGTAACATGTATCAGCTACCTGCTAAGCTCACTGGATCATAAAAAGAGGAACCATTCACAGAGGCACTCCTACTTCAAAGGGAAAAGGGGAGAGGGGAGAGAGGAGAGAGTGAAAGCACTCACGTGGTATAAAGATGTTGGCACCAACGTCTCATATGGTTCATTCAGTGTTATCACTCCACCAACACCAAGCACCTTCAGGCATGGAACGTCAGAAGGGAATGGAACAGCACCTAACAATATAAACTGCAAATAAATATATCAGAAAAGGAGAGAACATAGGAAGGCCATTTGATAAGAAATTTATTACATAAAGGCATGATACTGCAAAAATTTGCAGACAGCTCAAAGAATATGAATTAACACACCAAGTACTAATTAAATGTAATATTTGCAAACTCATCATGTAAAAACAATACGAGATAGATATAGCAAATAGAAAACTACGTTTACAGATGATCTATGAGCAAAAACTGCAACCATTGCTCGAAAGGTGAGAACGCCAACAAAAAATTGCAATCTTAATAAACCTTAATCCAACTTTCCATTTTACAAGCTTTGCAGAACTAATGATAAAAGTTCAAGATTGGAGAGACTCACATCAACAGAAGGTTGGTGTCCTAACAAGCACAAACAGGCGTTCGGAAATTTAAACGTTACAAGAGAACAGAAATAAAGCTGGGGTTTTTTTTTTGGGGGGGGGGGGGGGGGATTCCTACAAAATACAGTCACTGGCTTTAAGACAACTGTTTGCTTCACAGTCGTTAGTCATAAGCTCAATCTACTATCCTAAACGCACTTTTCCTTCACTTAATCTACAGAACCAGACATCAGAACTCAACAAAAAACTGAAATAACCCCACAAACGGAACCAAAAACAGTTGGCATCAAAACACATGCAAGCATGTCAAATCCACCCGTCTACACGATCCTATAATATAAATAACCCAATAACGAATCATATTTCGAACTTCTAACACCCCCAACTAAACCAATCTCCATGCATAAAGCAAAAAAACCCACATGTCATCTACGCATGCCATATTAAAATAAAAAAATAAAATAAGCATCAACTAACTCCAAAAGCAGCTAAAAAATTCTTTGATCTAAGCATGAAACAGCAAAAATTATACCTCGTGGACTCTATCCCACCAGCGAAACTCAGCCTGGACCTTATTCCTAACAATATTATACAGCAAAGTCGGGTAAAACAAAGCCCGAGCTCCGACTCCAACAAAAATCCGCTTCGCATCCCGCACAATAAGACTTTCACTCTCCTTCTTATCAGCATTCTCTACACACCATTCCTTCTCCTCCTCCCTTCTGTCCACCTCACCTTCTCTCAATTCCTCAATTATCATAATATCCCCAAATTTTGACACCAAATCAATCACAATCACACCCAAATCCCTAAAAAAGCCCTAACTAAAGTTATCCCTGTATAACTGTGAATCTATGGGTATTTACATAATAGTTGACCAAACTGAAATCTTCACATCAGATAAAATAAAATAAAAACCTAAGCTACTAACTTTTACAGTGATGGCAGAGAAAGAGATTGATTTTGAAATGATTGAATTGGGATTCCTAGGTGAAATCACCAGCGTCAGAAAAAGAAAACGAAAAAAAGTTTTGATCAGACGGTGAAATCGAGGTGGTGAGATCGTAACTGATGAGAGATCTTGATCGATTTGATTTTGTGAAAGAATTTTTGGAAACCCTAACCCTAGGTTGCCTGGATTCTACTCTTTCGTTCCTTTTTCTCAACAAACTTTGAGAGAGAGAGAGAGAGAGAGAGTGAGGGAGTACTGAAGGAAATTTGAGAGATTGGAATTGCGGAGGAAGTTTACGTTGACGAGCGGGTGCTAAACATGGATATCTGAAATCTCGTCATTGGTTTACACGTGGTGAGCAGCGGATACAGGTGTTATGTCTTTACCCATCAAAACTTATCAAAACTTGTAAGAAGATTTTCATATCCGTTCAAATTTTTTTATTTCTTTTTTTATGTGTCTATCTCTCTTCTAGTGATAATGAGCTTAAAAATAACTACTATATATATCAAAACTTATCAAAACTTGTAAGAAGATTTTCATATCCGTTCAAATTTTTTTATTTCTTTTTTTATGTGTCTATCTCTCTTCTAGTGATAATGAGCTTAAAAAATAACTACTATATATGTAACTAGTTATTAGTATGTATTATAAAATTTCTCAACATATCACGTTGGGCCAGGGCATGGAGATTGTCGACATTGGATAAAAATCATCGGATATACAATTTTTTTTAGTATTGATTATAGTTTCTTTTGTTACTGCTTTTACGTGTGGATTTAAACTTTTAAACCATGATTTTAAATTTGGGCTCCATGAAATATCATGAAAAGGCTACGCCAAGCTTCATTCATCTTAATAAGGTTGATCTATTAGAGACCAATTGCAAGACTAGTGGTCGACCATTTTTTATTGCAAAAGATGGTAATTAAGTTTACCAACATCAAAAAATCATAAATTATGATTATACGGAGATAATCGGTTAATGAAATTATACGTAATTTTATCCATAATAAAAAAAATAACCATGTTTAAGGTAACATATTAGTTTTCAAAAGCAAAATTGCCCATTTATTAGCCATTTTAATGGTCATTCTAAGGTTTCTAAAACTTCGAAAAAAATAAAATAAAATAAAATGTGTTCTGGAATGGGTTTTAATCTATTGATACATTAAACGAAATTTATTCATAACTTTCGGACGAAGCTTGCGGTTAAAGACCATTTTTAGAATGAAGATGATAGTTTCAACTTTTTTTTTTTTTTTTTAATTACCTTCACATGTGATTTAAAATTATAATAAATTACAACTCAGCATAAAATATACCACCAAAGAAAATTTTGAGATGGATGGCACTGTTTAAGTTTATCCTTTATTATTTTTAATTAGCAATGACCCGACAAAAATAGGAATGATCGAATTTTTTATTTTTAATCAAAATAGGACTCCACTCAACATCCAATTGAACTTAAACTCGTAAGCATGTTTACCTATAAAATACTTATTTCAGAAAATTCTTATATAAAAAATCCGGAAGAGATGCTGCTCGGTCCATCTGCTAATCGAAATGGTATCTATAAATAAAACAACCAGAAGGAATCGAGAATTCTTAAACATTGTGAGAGGTCTGATTTAAACTATATACAGTATTATCTACTCTCAAGCCAGTGAGCCACTCTTTTATGTCATCCCTCCCCGATCTGAACCTTACATTTACATGTGAAAATTTTCATCTCTTGGAGACTTTCAGCCATCGAATTTTCGGTGACATCTTAGGACCATACGGTAAGAATGAGGATCAAGGATCCGTTGGAAATTTTGGAAGGATTTTGGATAAAAACAGAATTATATAATGCTTTATTACGTGTAGGAAAGAATTTTGAAAAGAGAGAATAATTATAGAAAAAATAAATTGATTTTATCCTATGTCGAACCAATTAGTTATCTCCTCTTTTCATTCCTTTCCAATATAAAATAAAAACCTTCCTTGAAAATATTTTCAAATTTCATTCATAATACACTTTAACTTATTATCTACTATTTTTAAGATTTTAACAAGATCTCCATCAGTCCTCCTTTGACAGGGAGAGAAAGGTGGAGGTGTAGGGGCTCAGCTACCCTGCCCGTAATAAAGAAATCAATCTTATTCTTCTTCTTTTTTTAATAACCATGCGCAATCTTCTCATATAGAATACGCACTGCAGTCCAAATCACAGCCGCCCCTCCTTTTCAAACCAATAACTTAAAAATACCCATGAAAGGAATTTGGCTGGCAAAAGGCTCCATACTTTGTATTGCATAATATATATTTATATATATATATGAAAAACGAATTTGCCCTAGCACCGTTTGTCTGCCTATTAATGCATGTGTGAGTGTGACAATGGCAAATGGCATCAACCAAACTAATATTTATTAGGCTCAAGTTGATTATGACAACGAAGAATGCCTTTATTATAGATAGACCGGTAACAGTATCCTTCGCCATTTTGCTTTCACCGGTTACTTGAAGTCATGGAAGTAAAAACCCCAAATGTGGTACAGAAATTTGGTGGCCAAACATTGTGGCAACTCATAAATACTCTCGACGTCATTCACTGTAAGAATTTAGTTAATTATATACTTTTTTGATGCGAGAACAGAGAATTGATTTGGCCGAATCTTTCACAGGAGAGTACCCCCAAGTTCATTAGAACTTTCGTATCATCGTTCAAACTCGATAATGAACTACCTCTGACGTGGAAGGTAAAGAAGTAGGCCCAGGGACCCTTTCCCCGTCGCGGCAGGGACCATGGCGAAGAACTGGAATGGGATCACCAACATGCGCTAAAGCACCAAACAAAAGCTGACAGAAGGTTAGGAACATAATAGAGGCGCTCATCGCATCAGTACTGGAATACAAATTGAAAATCCACCATTGGGGAGGGGCTAGGCATCGAGGTGATTATGAGGAATTTCAGAAGGATCCATCAGTGAGAAACTAACGAAGTGGGGCCTATAAAAATTCCATGTCCCAAAAAGACACGTAATTCCAAGAGGTACTCTCAATTCTCAATGCACTGAAGTCCGAGCCATACAACTTGCTCCTACAGATCCATCTTGTTGAATAGTTAAAACCCACAAAATGATAAAGATCTAGCTTCGTTTCATGTATCACGCCCATTTAACAGATTAATATAATCATCAAGGAATCTAAAATCTAGCAAAGCAGAAAGCCAAGTGACAATGATATTTCAGAGTTGAGAGCTTACAATTCTTGGAGCTATCCAAGGAATAAGAAGGCATTTTACCAAATTGTACAAATATTAGCATGGCATGCTAGAGTCTTCCTTTCTATCATCCTATTCCCATCAGAAACTCTGTTCTTCAAATTAAACATCGCCTCTTATTAGATTGAATAACTTTGAGCTTTCAGCCTAACTACTCAATTTACCAACATTCTCTCGTTTCTTTTATCACTGCTTATGATAAACTCAAGCTGATAATGATTTGCAAATGGTGAAATGATTGTACTAAACAAACGAATCTCAAATTTTTTACTATACATTATAAATCTGAACACATTGATTAATGCAAATTGAGTGCAAACATTCACGAGCCTCTGCCACACAACAGCAGTCTCAATGTCTTCATCCTAGCAACTAGCAGAGAAACGGCTACCTGCCACACATCGGCAGTAACAATATCTTCATCCTAGCAACTAGTAGAGAAATGGCAACAGCAACCACATTGTTAAAAGTGCATATTAATCCTAGTCTCCGGTGTAGGGCTATTTCATCTTTAATTCATACTCCAGGAAAGCAGAATTAAAAATAATAATAATCAATAATAATGCATATTAAAAGTGCATAATAATCATCTAGCAAAAAAAAAAAAAAAATCCTATCAAACAGAGTCAAAATACACAATAATCATCTAGCCATTCCCATTCATTACACAATAAAACAATTCCAAGATATTACGACTGAAGAACTGGCAAACATGTTACACTCATCAAAAAGTTTCGGCCTCCGGAATAAGTTTTCTTCTTAAAGCTATTGAATGCCAGCTGATCCCAATCACCAGATCAATTCAGTCACAATCAGGCTACTGTCAAATTGAGTCTAATGTCAGTTTCAAGAGCAACTGAAACTCAGTGAATATTATGACTAGATAGAGTGATTCAGATTTCAGAATATGAAAGCACGCACAGAAACAACAGAAGCATTCATTAATGACGAAAAATAATACCTTGCAAGGTAGTGATAGATAAAGTAAGAAAAATAAGGAATCTAACAGCATAATGCTGCCCTCACTGGATCTGTAAGGAAAACAAGCTACATGTAGCATGATACAGCAAATGATGCTTGGATTGAATGAAGAATTTTCAGAGGTCCTTGCCCATGCTTCCACAATGCCCAAGGTCAGTCAGTTTTTTAGCTAGCAAGCATGTCCGTTAAAATCAAGTGCCTCATGTACTTCAGAAGGTGATGATTCAGATGTCCTTTTTTTTTTTTTTTTGTATCTCTATATTTCACAGGGAGGGAGATTCACTTACGCATCATATAAATGAAAATCGGACAACTACTACTATCATGATTCATGCCAAAGTTAGAATCAAGGATCCTTCTATTTTGTGGGGCAATTCATAAACTGATGTAAGCAGGTATATATAAAATGCAGTGAGCAAGAAACTCTGAGGTTGCTAGAAATCCCACAAAAAAAAAAAAAAAAAAACTGAAATGGGAGCTATTATGCAATTCATAATGGCTTGATTCATTAAGGTATCAATAGATTCCCCCGACTCGGGTTCAGATGATGGAGCAACTAAGGATGAGAAGAGTTCAGCAGCTGACACTGATCAGTGGTCATCATCTCCATATATGGATCATTTCGTCAATCAAGCGAAGTCCACTGACCTTTCTTCTCAGCTATATTCACTGGTTAGGCGGGGGGTTGTGGGGCAGAGAGTTCAAGATAAAGGGGCAGACTCTTTTGATATTGATATGGTGAAAACCTTCTTGTCTGTATTTTTGGCCAAGGGACAGATATCACACAATCCGAAGTGAAAGCAAGAAATAAAGAAAAATTATAATCAAGGGTCAAACAAATAATCCAATGATAAATATATTCATATAATCTTCATTTATTCCACCAAAGTTGAATAAACAATTAGGCATAACCGATCACGATTTCTTCTCTCTATTTTAAATTACACAATACAAATCAAAATCAGGATTTCAACATCAGTTGTTCACATACCAACCCGATATGTGCCAAAATTTGCTTCTACACCAAGACAAATAAACTGGTATGATTTGATGCAATTCACAAGAAAAACCTCCTTCGGCTAGTGTCCATTTCCGGCTGAAACACAAACGAGAAGAAATGTTAACAGTTCGAAATCCAACAAAATTTGGAAAAAGAGCCTCTACAAATCAATGTAGTAAACAGAAACCATTCATAAGTTACCTTGTGAACCCATTCATATTCACCACCTTTGGTATCAAAGGTTCCATGTTGGAGACTTCTCAACTTCAGTGTGAATTGAGGGCCACACTCCTACATGTTTAAAGAATAATTAGTACAGACGAATAAGATCATTGGGTGAAGTTTCAGATCAAGTAAGATCTTTGTAAAATGGGGGCCAATAACATAGATGGATATACAAATGAGGTAGTTGAAATTAACAAGGTCCTAACTACAATTCCAGATGCGTTGGAAGTTTCACTGTTGGCCGAAGGAAGAATATCAAGGTTACAAGGTTGACTCAGTTCCTAAAGTTAATTAAAATGAAGAGAAAACACAATAATCAAGGAATTTCAAAAGGGTAACACCAAAATTTTAAGATCCTGGTAGAAAGGATATTGACCATATGACAACAAATGCTAACAAAAAATTCAATAGGGAACCATAACCTGAAGACGCGCAATCACTTTCTGTTGAGTGATCCTCTCAACCTTGCCATCTTTTCCTTTTTTAGCTTTTGAATCACTATTTTTACTCTCTTTGGTTTCAAAGATGTACCTGTGCACATAACAGTTGGGAAATTCATCAGAAAGGCATTTGTAAAAAAGAAAGGACTATCCAAAGGTTTAGTCACAGCGGAATTTAATAGAAACCAAAGCATACCGGTGATGCCGAAAGAATATATAATCACGTTGATTGTGAAAGGTAACAACTCTCCGACCACGGAAGTTTGGTTCTTGCGGGAAAAGTGATTGTATCAATCTGGAGGGTACATATAAACAAAAGAAAGTGGTGTTAGGAAGAAAACTAGCGTATAAAAAGCCAACAAAAGAAAGTGACATGCAGAACTGTGAGATCACATAAACCACACTGAGAAACATTGATAAATTATAGAAAAGAAGAGCATTCTCATTTTTGAGAAAGGAGAGAACATTTGATTACACAGTTTATTTTAATCAATTCTCCAGGTCAATTGTGAGGAAAATTTACCCCTTTTCTGATATGCAACATCAAGGAAATTTCATACCTCCCAATTCGATGACCCAGGCGGGTTGTAAAGTTAGTCAAGACCAGCTCCGGATCATGACTGGTTGGATTTCCGTGATTCTACAGGCAATACAATGCAGTAAAGATTAGACATTAATGTCCCTGAAACTGCATATGGCAAAACTGAAACACATAAAAACAAAAAATATTCTGCTTATTCCAATCTATTGAAACTTAGATGGATAATACTACTAAAACCACATTTCCCTCTTCATTAATCAATGTATCTTTGATTAGATACCTTGCTCCAATAAAACCGGCCATGTCCATTTAAAAAACCAACAAATTAGATTTAATTGATAAGGAATCAGATACAATTTGTTGGTGCATAAATATTAAGGACTGTAACTTTCTTTAGTTTCATTTAATTGAATAAAATCAATTATCTTTAAAATAGATGGCACCTAACATTGCATTGAATAAAAGTTCTACATCAATATATGTAAAATCAGCCATAAACCTTGATATCCTTGCGTAGAACAAGCCTTGAGAGCTTGAAATGGGCAGTAGGTCCATCAGGCAAGCCAATGATCAAGAGAGCATCTACAAGACAGTCACAAGCTTGTTCAATTTCTTATAGACAATCACTTTCTGCAAAAGTTTATCCATTGAAAAAGAAAATTCATTTCTAATCTAACAGTTATTAGTATACAAAAACACTGTCAGAGAACACATATCCTAGGCAATCAGCTATCTGTTCTTTATTGAGAACTAAGTACCACTCACCAGGTTCCCTGCGGTTCGTGTGAACAACTATAAGAGAAGTAAAATCCTGCTTCTTAGCATATTCTACAATCTACAAAAATGTTATGCACGTCTTATTAATAGATTCAACACTGGAATAGCTCCTGCTACGCATCTTATATGAGAAAAAGTGAGAGGGAATTAGAACCAATAAAAAGCACCTTTTTCAAGTCATAAGTTCCCCTCTTGTAATAATGTGCATTTGGGATCACTTCAAGCAGTTCTGATATAAAAGCTGGTCCCCTCTGTTCATCACAAATGACATTTAAATGCGATTCAACTATATCAGAAGTAAAGGAAGATATTTATATTGGAGCCGAAGTATTATTGCATCTTCCTTCCATGGATATTCAATGACTCTGTACAAAACAAATTCAGAAGAGACGGACAACTTACAGTAGAATTGAAACGGGAAGTGGTGATCAATATCTTTGGAGGCAGTTCACGTTTTAAAATGGAGCTAAATTCATCAGCATCGTTACCAGCAAATAGCTATGAACAGACAGAATTAACACATCAGCTACATCAAGCACTTGCTATTTTAGCCATAAGTAGAAATAGTAAATGAATTTCCCCAAATATTGAAAATTAGCAGAACAAGAGCTATGAGGTAGTACCTCCTCATCATCAGGCTGACAAACAGTCTCGTCAAGCTCTCTAGTATTCTCAATGGTGCGTGGAATCTTCCTTGCAGGAGGCTGCACAATAATAACACCACATCAGATCAATTCTGATTCAAAAAAAAAAAAAAAAAAGATAGAAAAAAACCCTAATGCAGTATTTCAATAGGGGACCTGACCTCCTCGCCGAGCTCGAGAGCATGCTTCTCTTCAGCATCGCGGGTTTTAAGCCTCTTCCGCTTCTCGACTTTCTTTTGATGCTTGAGTTTGGCGTGTACGGCAGATCTCTTCTCCTTGTTCTTTATCATTGATGGAAGAATTTCTTTCTTTTTCTCCTTATCCATTTTCTTCATCTTATTCTTCTCCTTTCTGTCTAACTTAACATCATCGTCGTAATCCTCTGTCTTTTGCCAGATGCTCCTGTCTACTGTCATTTGGTTCTTCCTTTTTCTAATGCAATCTAAAATTCAAATTAAAACAAAACAAAACAAAGATTACAATTCAAGCAAATCCAATGCCTAGGTAAAAACAACATACAATAATTACAACAAATCTGAATAAATTTATTTTCTTTACTTTTCTCCTTTTTTTCCCCAGTAAATTATGAATCAACTCAGAATTCAAAATGAGAGTATTTTTACGAAGAAAAACAGAAATAAGAGAGAATTCAACAAAAAAGGGTTGCTAAATTTTATAAAATAAATTAATTGAGAGGGCTTTTTTTTTCTTGAAAATTAATGAATGGGGTGCTCTAGATATGAATCTAACTCAAGAACTTAAAAAAAAAAAAAAACCAACCACTTCAGTTGCTGTAAATACGCATGGCATAAAAGATGAGAGCATCTATTACCCGGACAAATAAATAGCAACGAAATTGTTTATTTTGATTCAGTTAAAAACACAGCACAATTTGGTCAACAATCTGTGCATTCATTATTACATCAAGCTTTTCTACAGTAGAAACAGAATTTCAGAATTACTTACATGAAAAATGACTTGGCCTGCAGCTGCACCGTTAGTTACCAACAAGTTGAATGAATCTGCATAATACCAACATTCCAAAAACAGAAGTTTAGATGGGGCAGGAGTTCAAGAAAAAACTTAGTTAAAAATTGGTCCAAAAATCTCATAAATAATGCGAGAATGCAGATGCATCCATGCTTCCCTACTGTATAAAAGCTTTATTATGTTAGATTTAAAAGAGAAAGAAAGAAAAAAAAACCTGGCAGGGCAGTAGGGTGGCTGTTGAGGCTTGGGGTTGGTGGAGAAGTTATTTGAGGGTGGTGAACGTGGTGACAGGGGTGGCTGGAAGAAGAGGGAGGATTTTTCTAGGGTTGTTTAGTGTTGGGGCTGGCCGGAGAGGAAAAATAAGAGAACGAAAAAAATAGATTTTTATATGTAGTGTTTTGGGTGGTTAAGTTCCTTTTTTTAGTCCCTTATGTTGCGTATATGTTTCGTTGTGATTTGTTACCCCTTTATTTGTTTTCAATTTCATCTCATCAATAATTGAGTTTATTTTCATCCCTTTCTTTTATTCTTTTAATTTTTTTCTGAATTTGTCTGCAATTAAAAGCCTGTGGGCTTTCAATTCTTCAATTATGCTGTCTATTTAAACTTTTTTTCCTTCTTATTTTCTCAATAGTTTCAGGATATTCATATGCTTATATATATATATATATATATATATATATATATATATATATATATATATATATAATTCCTTTTTCTTTCTTTTTTCTTCTCTTTTTTTCTTTTTTTTCTTTTTTCTTTTTTTAATGTTTAAAAATAACTCACAAAAATTATAAAAACTAATAAAAAGTTTTAATTTTGAAAAAAAAATTGATTGAACAAAAATATTTGAAATGAAATTTCTTTGATATATATTTTTTTTGGAAAAATATGACAAATTAAGAGTTAAAAATGGGTGCTAACATTAATTGTTGAGTAAATCGGATGGAGGTAGAGTGGGGTAGCTCGAGCATAATAATAAAATATAAAAATTGATTAAAATATTAAAAAATTAGATTTTTTTATTTCATATATTTTTATGGATCTATAACATAACACGAACTATCAAATTAAAATGATTTTTTAAGATGAGTTCACGTGTTCGTCTAATCCACAACGAATGCACGGGTAAAAAACCTAATTAAAAGAAACTAGACATTGGGTTTTTTAGCGAGTGATTTTCACTTTTCATCCCCTAATAAGCCACTATTCATATACCGTAGGTAAGGATGGTGCTTTTGCGATTTTTTAGTTGTTTTTGAATATTTATATCTAGGGTGTTTTTGTCAAAAGAAAAATAATGTGTGTGTGATTATAAGATGGAAGGAGTGTCAATATCGCCTTTCTATTCTCGTTGTTCTCAAAACCAGATCCAATATAGTTTAGGTAAGCTTCTTCAATTGGACTTATCAATTCATGCCTTTGCTCAAATAAGGCATGTTTGAAGGATCATGCATCCTATGAAGGTGTATAATAAAATAAAAATTTCTTCATCTAAGGCTCTCAAGATCAAACTGTTGAATCAAATAATCATATATACTTGAATTTAAAATGTGGATAAAAGATTACCTCTTTAGCGTAGATTTAGCCTTTGTAGAAAGGAGTCCTCCAAGTGTCCGGTCTCTATCGATAATCCACACAATTTAAACACTCACAAGAGAAGCTCCGTAAATCACAGAGTACTAGCTCCAATCCTTTTGTGTAGTTAACTTTTTTTCTAAAAATCAATTCGTGGTTTTTGCATTAACTATTGGCTTTGATGAGAAGAGGTGCGAAGAACCAAAGTTTTTTAGGAGAAAACTCGTTATTTTATTTTCTTGTTTTTGTGGTGTGTTTTTGGCTTACCTTTATTTTTGTTTCTCTCTTTTATTTATATAGGGGTGGCAACAACATTAATCTCCTAGTAGGTTAAGAAGATGTTGCCTATGTGGGTTTTATCTAACCTTATCCATGTAAACCCTAAGCTTTATCTAATAGGATTTAAGTTTATTTTTCTATCAAAATATCTTGTTGGCTTTTAAATTAAGCCTATTGGCCCAAATTCTTTTGACTCAATTAATTATCAATTAATTTAGACTATCTAAATAAATTGGATCGGATATTTTTAGTAAGCCCACATTAGAAAATAATTTCTAAATTACCTTTAAACCTAAATTAGGAAACTAATTTCATTATTAGGTAACTTACTTTCAAATTTGAAACTGACTTTCAAATTAGAAAATTGATTTCTAAAACATGAAACTTTTTTAAACATAGGAAACTTTACATTTTCAAAAACCTTTTTTCAAAATCTTTGCTTCTCTCTTTATTATGTGAATGCTTAAACTTATACATGTGACTTAATATGCTCTTAGATATGTTGGCAATGTATTAAGAATAAAAGACATCCTTTTTATCTCTTGATGCATAAATCAAGATTGGCTTCTGCAATGCATCATGACTACCTAATTCTCTAGAAAGATTAATTAATTCGTAATTATCTTTCATAAGCATGGTTACCATACAATTCAGATCCTTATGTAAATTTATCATAACGTGATCTCGAACTTGGTTTAAAGTCTATTTGATTATGATCACATAAGTTTTCTTTGATTCTCAAATATTTTAGCTTTAATGTAAACCAATTATGCTCTATTGGTATACCTGTCATTGTGGCTACAAATTCCTTAAGCAACCATTCATCAAAGTGCAATGTGATAACTTCTTTAATATATAAGAAATGACTTATCCTATCTTAGTCATCCACCTATCCATTGGATTCCTAGTGCACCTAACAAATTGCTCACATGTAGCTCTTAACCGAGCCCATCGAAACGAGTGTCAAAGTACATAAATCATCTAATGAGATAATCGTGATGACTTCGAGTCAAAGAACTCGTTGTTCCCATCTTATATGAGATTTCCATAGTGTAATAACCTAAAAAAGAGGAGGGTCGGTATAAAATAAGCAATGAATCGCCCCTCCATTCTAAAATTATCTTTTCTCCTCCTTCCTTTTTTACGTATTTCTCTCCCATTTTCTCCTAATTTCATTCTTTAATTCCTAAGCTAATTCGTTGTTAAACTAGCTTAATAGAACCATAAATTAAAAGATTTAAGTGGATTTTAGCTAGCTTGGAGCTTGGAAAGCTTGGAGAACTAGGATTGATTTGGGATTTAAATAGCAAAGTGTGAAGGTAAGATTTATGATCAATTAATCTTTGAATTAAGATGTTTATATGTGGTTAATGATGATATTAAAATGCAATTACTTTGGGGTTTGTTGAATGCTTCGAGGAATTGATTAGGATAAGGTTAGGGTTTTGAGACCGATTTAGGAAAAAATGATTCTAAGTAAGTAATTATAATGACTTGAATGATGTTTAAATATCTTAGGTAAGTAGCTAGTTTGCGAGTGAAATTAAATGAATTTAAGAAACTAAGATGTTGAAGATGATGGATAGTAAAAAATCAAAAAATTGAGAAAAATGAAGAATTAAGTCGGAAAAGTATAATTAAAGGTAAATGGAATGATTATTGGATGACGTAGGATAGAATTGCTTATCTAATTAAGGATTGATTGATTAAATATTTGAATTAAAAATTCATGATTTAATTAAGAATTGGTGGTGACGGAATTTAGTTAAGTAATGGATTAAAATTATTAGAGAGATTATAAAGTTTAGTTAAAGCTATCGGTTCGAGTCTTTCCAATCAATTCTGTTTTTATTTGATAATCTTATATGCTTATTCTTAAAATAATTCATTGTTTTGAGTTATTTCTCGAGATGTGATATTGATGGTTATCTATCATTATATGTTATTAGATTCTTCAAAGTGGGCAACTATGTCTCAACCGTCTTAAATTCTATTTGATCCTTTAATTATGCTTGTGAATGGATATTATATAGCATGCTATGTTTTATATTCCTTTGATTGTGCTCATTATGCATCATTATTTAAGAATGATTTAGAAGCATTCCGAGTAGAGCTTAGATGAGAACAAACTTCATAAATTTTGCAACAATTTTGTATCAAAATGATTTGACATGAATTAGAAAAAGGATTTGAATATGTGTTTGAAAAAAATGTGTTGTTGGAATTGTATATGTTTTTGGATTTGAATATGGACATGTTATAGTCGTTATTTTGATTATACGTATAATTTTTTAAAATAAATACATGGTATTTGAAATATCAATTTAAAAAATAAATAAGATGTTTGGTTTTCAAAAATGTTTTCGAGACCCTAGGGAACCTAACTATCGGGAGGGTAGTCTTTGAGCTCAATTATATGAGACTTTAACTAACAAAAGAGGTATAATGCTAGCTCGTGTGTTGGCCAACATGTGAAAACCTAGTCACGGGGGTAAGCTTTGGGTGTTTACACCCAATGATACATTATTACTCCACGGGTATATAAAAACTTATAAATATGAGATTTTGTATGAATACGATATATGTACAATAAATGTTTTGATGATTTGATATGAAATGGTTTTGAACCACTTGATTTGTGATGTACAATATGTTTTACAATATGCATATGTATTGAAAAAATAAGCATTGCATCTTGAGATGAATTTGAAAGTAACGTCCTTAGTTTGTTTCCCTCCCTTAGTATGTTATATAATGTTTACTCACTTAGTCGTTGGTTGCTCATCTCGCATTATTTTAGTTTTGTAGGATATTATGGATTTCTTATTGCTTCCTTTGGTCGCTTGCTTGAAGTCGGCACTTGGGTCATGCGACTTACTTTAGTTATAAGTCATAGAACCCATGTTTAGATATTGAAATGAGAATGACATTAAATTATGAATTGTATTGAGGTTGTAAGAAATGTTTATTAAGTTATGATAATGTTAATTGAAATGATACTTATGTGATATTGATTTGAGGACTATAGTATAAGTTTGATCATGATTTAAGGATTTTAATTTAATATCCGAGGTTTGCTTGGGTCAAAGTGGGCCTCATGGTCCTTTCGATTCTTGTACCAATTATGGCCAACTTCCGAGGTCATGACACATAAATTAAACCAAATGGTTCTTATGGTGAGTTATACACGGTGATATGTTCTTTAGCATTAATTATCTAAGTGCTTGCTTTGGCATCACTACGTCAATAAGTGTGAGATCCTTTACTCGTTATCTTATATTATGAGTATAAAACTTATAAGTCTTATCGAATATAGTCAATATCTATTCTTGACAATATTACAACTTGAGATATTTAATAATATCATTTAAATACATCAATATTCATTCACATCAATTGATCAATCATTGATACAATGCATATCATATGTATATTTATCTAATTCTATCAAATTATAAAGGATAATAATTAATAGAAATACTTCTTTTATTAATATATAAAAATGCAATCATTACAATAAATTAAACCATCTAAACAAGATTGGATCTTAGACACCTACACTACCAATGTTATGATGGGCGTAAAGACCATATCCTTTTAGAATGTCCATTAGCACTAAAAAAGCCCAATTGTGATAGTTTGGGTAATGGCATTAGATGCTTGAATCGGGATTAGTTGAGGTGGTGATCATAAAACTCATTCAGCCCAATTGTGATAATAATCACTTATCATAATTATGATTTATATTTTTTGAAATGTACAAAATTTTTCATCGTTCATCCCCTCACAAGTCATTGTTCATAAGTCGTAGATAAAAGTGATATTTTTGTGATTTTTTAGCTTTTTTTTTGGACATTTATATTCAAAATTTACATAATTTTTCATTTTGATCCTAAGAGTTTTTAAATTAAATTTTAATCTTCCGAAGTTGTTTCATCACTCGCCTTGCTACATTAGGTCGTTGAATTGGGCCTACAGCGAGCCCAAGGCAAACACGCGTACCCTGCCTAATCTTTTTTTTTTTTTTGGTTTTTTCTTTGTTTTTTTCTTCAATTTATGTTTTTTTATTGAATTAGGTGTGAAAAGTATGAAAAGTGCTATTTTTTCAATTCTTTTGTTTTTCTTGAGTTTTTTCCACCAATTTATTTTTTTAATTATTAAATTAGGTGTAAAAATTATGAAAAACCAATCATTATGTTTTTTCCATAAGTTGACGAGTTATGAAATATATATGATATGTTTGTAGATTTTAGAATAAATATATATATAGGACAATATTACTCTTATTGTTTAAAATTGATCTTTTCAATTTGTCGTTTCTTATAAAAATTATAATCAAATTAATTTTTTATTCTTCTTTTTTATATAATTTTATTTGTTAATAAATATGATTTATTTTCTCTTATGTATGGATTTTTTAATAATTTTTTGTAGTTTTTTTTTATTTGCTTATTTTTTATATAATTGAATTTTAAAAATAGAATTTACATGCTTTATTTATTTATTCTTTATATAATCAAATTTTATCGAAATCAATTTTATTTTTTTATTGCATCATACTAACTTCAATACTTTTTTACAAATTATTTTTTTTAAAAAAAATCAGTTTATGTTGCACATTCGACCCAATGAGTACAATCATGATGTATAAAAAATTATATATTAGAGTTATTAATTTTATTAAAAATTAAATATGCATATACACTCATAACAAGAACCAGTCTATTATTTTTTATATTTTAAAATTAATTTTTAAGTAAAATAATGTTTAGAAGAACTGCTTAATAATTCAAATATATTTTTTTATATTAATATTATTCATTATTTTTTTAATAAATATATCTAAATTAAATGTACATACTTTCAAACATAATATTCTTCTCATCAATATTAAACAAGAATAGAAAAAAATATTAGTTAATATTTATATAGGTTTTTATGTTGTTTTATTTCTTTGATACAATGTTATAAAAAAAATATTAAAAATATTTTTTAATTTTAAATTTAGATTATAAAGGTTTTTTATTTAAACATAAATGCATAAAAAGAATAAATCATGTTTTTTTAACCAAAAAAATTATTAGCAAATAAACAAAAAAATTGGATGCAAAATTTTGATTAGAAATTATAAAATTAGATGAAAATTTATCATTAATTTAATATATTTTTGTTGATTGATAACATAATATCTATTATCAAATTGAAATGAATTTATTTAATTCGGCTCGCGATGTAGCATGAAAAGCTAACCGAGTCTTTTCTAATTTCTTTTCGCTCTACGAGAACAAGAGTGTCCAATTGCGGGATACGCCAAAAAAGAAGTAGAAAGTAGTGAAATTAGGGTTTTTGAATCTTCTAAGACATTAGAAGAGAATTTATTTTTGGACCGATAGAGAGAGGCAAGGCCATTATTGGACTAAGTGTTTAGACCTCTTTTCATATAACCAGGAACGATATGTATTTTGTTAGGGGTAAGCAAGTGAACAAATGATCGTTCGTTGTTCGCTTTGAAAGAGACATTATTTTATGATTATAAGTACTCTTGATTCCATTTTAGGTAATTTCTAATAGATTCAAAAACCCTAATTTCATATATATATATATATATGAAATTAGGGTTTTGAATCTTTCAAAGCATTAGAAAAGGATTTATTTTTGTGTGAGACAGAGAGAGAGAGAGGCAAGGCCGTCATTGGACCAAATGTTTGGACCTATTTTCGTATAACCAGGAATGATATGTATTTCGCTAGGGGCATGCAAGCAGACAACTGACCATTCGAAGCTTGCTTTAAAAGACACATTATATTATGGTTATAAGTATCCTTGAATCCATTTTAGGTAATTTTCAATATATATACATATATACATCGAATTGAATCTAATAATATTCGAAAAACATCTAGTAAGTATATAAAGTCTTTCATTCAATCCAACCCAACTTAATTGTAATGTATGAAAATAAATAATGGTTATAAGTATCTAATTCCATTCTAATCTGAATTATTGTCATCCTGATCACAAATAACCATATCCTTTGTCCGTCTCTTTTTATTTTTTTTATTATTTTGCTTTTGTGTACAGATAAGATGTTCTAAAACAAGCTTTTGGACAGTAAGATTAAGTCCATCTTTCCGTTGGCGTCAAGACAGATTCTCTACTCCAGGACCAGGGGATGAGGGTCCATCTGTTTAAACTGCACAAGTGGAAATCGAGTATAATTATAGAGCATCGTACTAATTTAAGCATACATGGAAACTGGGGAAGAAAAGTTAAGATTCAGCTGAAAAATGAATGATGGAGAATGACTGTTCTATCCATTCAAATTGTACTCGCACGTGCTACACTTGGAAATTATTTGCTTGCATTCACTACGGCGTTGAATAGCCAGCCTCCTCCCACCAAATAATTTACTCAGAAAGAGCATTTATTAAAAGTCCAGAAGGGGTTTTACAGATTACTCTTCGAATTTATTACAGATATCTGTGCTTCTGTGTCACGGTTTTCCTCTTCCTCGGCTAGTTGGGCTTGCTTCTCACTACAATTCACTGCTTCATTGCTTTTACCCCATAGGAGAATGTACAGACCAAGCATCACTAAGATAGATCCCAGGACACTGCTCATTACAGTTACAGAACGTTAGGAACAATACACAATATGTTGCAAAGTGAAATCATAATATATATATATATATATATATATATGAAAGGAAACAACCTTCCAAGATAAATTTGTTCATGCAGGATAAAGAAATCAAACACAGCAGCAAATATCTGTGTGAAGGGCGTGAAAGCAGATGTGAATACAGGACCCCTTTGTTTGACACACCATGACATCCCCACATAGCACAAGCCTGATCCTATGATCCCCTGTGGCAAGAAGTGAAAAGGTAATATCTCAAGCCTCCTGTTTGAATCGAAATTAATGAAACTTCTTCTCTTGATTTGTGTGAAGCAAGCAAGCAACATTCATTTAAGTTGTCCTGATACTTACAGCATAAAGGACGCCTATAATCTCCAATTTTGGTTTCAGAATCCACATGGCAAAATTCCTTTCCATGATTAAACCTAAGACAGCTGACTGGATTGCACCAGAGATTGACATAATGGCAGTGCTAGAGTATTGACATGGATAATTTTTGCTAATCTTAGTTTGCATTAGGAACCATGAAGACCACGTGAAGCAGCCTGCAAGAGAAAGCATCGAACCAACCACCCAACTTTGCCTCTTCTTACCTGAGATCGTAGTATCTGCATGGTTTAGGATGTCAGTTGTGGTGGCTTCTGAATGTGAATTGGTTAATGGCATTCCTTTATAAAGGATCAGTAGGACAGCTCCCCCCATGCAAATAAATGTACCCAACACCTTCGCTTTTCCTGCCTTGCTTGTCATGTTCGCTTTTTCTAGACTGGAAAGAGTTTTAACACCAATTACAAAAGACCATTATTTTTTGTCAGAAAATGCAGTAAATTACTCATTGCTTGTTGTGGTTACCCAAAAAGTAGTGCTAGTATGAACGTGTTTACAGGGACCGTGTTGAGGAGTGCACACAAGAGGGTAGCAGATATATACTCGAGCCCCAGAAGCAATAAGTATTGTGTCAGTGTTAACCTGATCATAGACATTAATAATTCTCAGTGTTTCTCTGTAATAGACATGGTAATTGTAATTATATATTGCAAATGAACAACTGCATAACAGAGAAGAATCTGGAATATTATAAAGTGTATTTTAACTAACCCAACAAGGGCACTGAGGAAGAGGTGGCAAAAGATGGAAGCTGTCAGCCTAGGTCTGTTTTTCCTGCAAGAAAACTAGCTATATTACAGCCTCTTGGAAAAACCTTTGTCCATAAAAGAATAGTAGTCCATCCTCCAAGTTAAACTCAGTGGTATTTCCAATTAAAGGAGCAACAGAGACTAACTAATCGATAAACGTCATAATGAAGCTCAGAGGAACTAAAAAAGCATGAAAAAGTAGGTGTGCAGCTGCTAAAAGACCATTAAAAGGGGAGAGGTGAAGTAGCCACTACCTTTCCCAATAGTACGCAATAGGCGCCAAGAAAATTGCAGAAATTGACAGTCGGTATGTAGCAATAACCATATTGTTTGTCCCTTGATCCAACATCTTTTTAAGAAGTAAATTCACTATTGCGAAGGCAAAATTAACAACCACCATTCCGAAAACAGGCTTCCATTGTCCTCCGTCACTCATATTTTCTCTATCGGTGCAGTATAGAAAGAAATTTTCGAGAAGAAGCAGTAGTCAAAGAATAGTTCCTCTCCCTAATAGATACAAGCGTACGCTATCGCAGTGTAAACGGACTGATGATCTTCATCAATATATAGGCTCAACACTTCCGAAAGGGGAAAAAACATGATTACGTAATCAAAATGCCATATCATTGTGCTACAGACTTTCCATTTTTTAATTAATATCCTCTTCGTGCAATCTTTTGCAAGACCCTTTTTCTCTGTAGTTGGAGAACATAGAATCAAATACAAATTAATGCTAAGCTAATTTTATGCATGATAAAAACATGACCTCGTAGGCTTGTCATGAGTTTTGGTAATCAATTTGGCTAATTGACATATTTAGTAAAAGGAAGGCTCTATATCGCATGAGCCTTTATGCTGTTGTACATATGGCAATAAAATATGCAGGAAGCAATCAGCATCTTTTGAAAGTTGGAGGCAGATTTGACTCGAGCATCCCTTTCTGCGAAGTATCTAATACTTTCAAAAACAGATTGACCAATTCTTTCAACTTCCAGTGATTGTAAGAACAACATTTCAAATCTTAAAAGTAAATTAGTTGCCAATGGGATGCTTTGTAACCGTAACTTGTGCAAGCTATGTTTTTTTCCCTTCTGTCACGCATTTACAATATTAGTTTTGAAAACTATATATACTGATTAGTGCTATGTTCGAAGAATTAGTTTCTTTCTATGGTAGTAGATTCTGGGAATACTCTCAGTAGCACTATAGTATAAATAAGATTGTACATTCCCTAAGGCTAGAAGTATACATGAACATAGGTTATACAGTTGAAAGTGTTGGAAATATGCGGGAGCTAAGTGAGTGAAAAAGAGAATTTTTGATGAAAATACTTAGGTAGGGCTGCAGCTCAATATCTTATATATTAATCTGATGTTTTTCTTATTACATGACATAAAAATGAAGGACTCGACGTTAAAACCTTGATTGAGAAACCTAGAGTCATAACAAGTTCCTAAGTCTAGAAACTAGAAAAGACATGTAGTAAATATGAAAGACTTTTGGTAACCACAAAGACTACACGTTCCAAAAACTCTATAAAACACAAAGAGACTTTGACTCACATGAATGTTGACATTGAAATTACAAATTACTTTGCACTTCTCGAGCATACCCTCTTAATTTGTAATTTGTAATAACTTTTTGAACCGATGAAATTTCTCCGAAGATACTTGCTTTGGTGAGAACATCTCGCTCGTTGATCATAGGTATTGATGAAGTCCGGATAAAGCTCCTTCTTGTTAACCATATCGCGAATGAAATGATGCCGCAATTCAATGTGCTTTGACCTTGGATGAAAAAAAAAGATTCTTTGTCATTGCAATGGCTAACATGTTGTCACATAGAATGATAATAGATTCGAAACCTTCTACTGCAAATCGGAGAGAATTCTCCTCAACCAAATTACTTCAAAAGTTGCTTCATTAGTTGCTATGTATTCGGCTTTTACCGATGACAATACAACTGAACTTTGCTTCCTTGAACTCCATGAAATGACATTTGAGCCTAAGCAAAAAAATAAATCATGATGTGCTTTTCCTATTATCAAGACTTGTCGCCTGATCCACTATTAGTAAAACCAATCGGTTTGTTGTCTTCTTCTTTCAAATATCCGATCCCGAAATCCTTAGTCCCTTGTAGGTAGCATAGGATTCTCTTAGCTGCTGCAAAATGAAGCGATTCTGTCGAGTTATTCCATGAATCTAAAAATTAAACTCACGGAATGAACTATATTTGGCCTTGTGTTTGTGAGATAAATTAAGGAAACAACAAGGATTCGAAACATTTTTTAGTCAACCTTATATGCATCATCATCTTGCTGTAATTTCTCATTAACTACAATAGGAGTTGCAATTTCCCATGTTAAACTTCTTTAGCAAGTCTATAACATGAGAGATAAAAAGTCGCCCTTCGATTCCTTCATCCGGATTTCAAGAAAATACTTCATAAGCCCCAAATCCGTCATCTCATATTCTTTCATCATCACGTTCTTGAATTCTTCAACTATTTCAACATTAGTGCTCGTATATATCAAATCATCAACATAGAGACAAACCATCAAAAATTCCGCTCCTTTTTTCTTCACATAGAGAGATGCCTCGGACGAGCTTCTTTCAAAACTACTTTCACGAAAATACAAGTCTATTTTGTTGTTCCATGCTCTCGGAGCTTGTTTCAAACCATAAAGAGCCTTGCGAAGTCGACAAACCTTTTATGCTTTCCTTCCATTACATAGCCTTAAGGTTGCTCTACATAAACTTCTTCTTTCGTTCCCCATTGAGAAAAGCTGACTTGACATCTAGTTGAAAAACTTGCAATTGTAATTAAGTCGTTAAAGCAAGAAAAATTCTAATAGTTTCCATCCTTACAATAGGTGTAAATGTTTCTATAAAGTCTACTCCAGTACGTTGTGAGTAGCCACTTTGTAACTAGTCTTGCTTTGTGCTTTTGAATGCTACCATCTTCATTATGCTTAGTCTTGTAGACTCATTTCAAGCCAATTGCATTCTTTTCTTTTGAAAGATCTACTAACTCCCAAGTCCGGTTCTTCTCAATACATTCCATTTTAACATTCATAGCCTTTCTCCATACTTCTTCTCTTATAGTTTCTTCAAAGCTCTATGGCTCATAAGCAAAGAAAGAAACATTACAAGAATCATAAACATCATTCAAAAATCTATACCTCCTTGGTGGTGAGTATGAATCGAATCATCACTTTGAGGGTTGGCCATAAATGAGCTAGCTTCATTTTGAGAAGTTTTAATAGCTTTATTTTGAGGAACCATATTGGAATCACCTAGCTAACTTCTTGCTTCAAGAAAGTCAAATGTTACAAGTACATGACTAACATCTTCTTCTCATTTTCATCGTTGTTGTCTCATAAAAAATAACATCTCTTGAAATTACTAGCTGATTCTTTTATGGATTGAAGAGTCAAAAGCCTTTAGACTCATCACTATACATAATAACGATGTGTTTCTCACCTTTCTTATCAAATTTCTATCTACTTTAGGAAGGAACAAATGCATAAGCAATACGGCTAAAAACTTTAAGCTAACTTACTACGGAGTTTACGGTTGTGCCAAACTTCAAATGAAGTTCGATTATGAAATACTTTCATTGGAGAACAATTGAGAATGTATGCTACTTATATTGACGACTTCAACCTAGAATTGGTTAGGAAACCCTTTGCCTTTAAGCATACTTCGTGCCATCTCCTCTATGGTGTAATTTTTTCTTTCGCCATGCCAATATTTTGAGGCATGTGTCTCATAGTAAGCTGATTCTGAATCTCATTCTCCTTGCAATAATCAAGGAAAGGCTTGTATATGAACTCTCCTTCATGGTCCGTTCGTAATGTCTTCATCCGACGACCACTTTGTCTTTCTACAAAAGTTTTAAATTGTAAAAAAGTAAGAAAACATCTGATTTTCACGTCAAGAAAATAAATCCATATCATCCTAGTATGGTCATCAACAAAGAGAAAAAAATAACTTTTATTAATCGGAGATGAAGTTTAAGTTAGACTACAAATATATATATGTATTAACTCCAGAGGTGTATTTGCTCTCCAAGCTATTTTTGGAAAAGGAAAACAATGTATCTTCCCATATATACAACCTTCACGAGACCTTAATCTTGTTACGAATCGAAGGAAATCCAACTATCATGTTCTTTTACTTCAACAATTGCAAGCCATTGAAATTCAAGTGGTCATAGCTCGAGTGCCACAAAGAAGACTTATTTGCATGCTCACTTCGAGTGCAACATTCTACAATGACTTCATGCTCAAAGGAAAAATGTTATGGAATCTTATTTTTACCACTCGCAATCTTTTGATTAGCTTTCTTATAAAAAATTTCACATCTATCATCATTAGAAATCAATTTATAGCCCTTTTCTCATCATCCATCCAACACTCAAAAGGTTTTGACCAATGTTGAGAGAATAAAAGACATCATGGATGTGTTTTTCATTTCCTCTATTAGTATGGACTCTAATGACTCCTCTACCTTCAATCTTTACTTTCTTGAAACCACTAAGTACAACTTGAGAGGAATAGTTCTCATCAAGCTCCACAAAGGTTGATCGATCACCTATTATATGGTGACTGCAGTCGCTATCGAGGTACTAAACATCTTCGACTTTGTGCTCCATATTCATCCAAGAGTAGAACGACTCATCATCTATTTTAGAGAAATTTACTGTATTTTAATCTCCACTACTATCTTCTTTATCTTTATGCTAATAATTTCTCTCGGAATGATTAGGATTTCGCATCTATTGTATTTAAAACAATAATTTCTAGCTTCATGGCCAAAACCTCTTACAAATGGTGCGGTGAGAAGAGTTGTTGTCAAACCTTTGTTGCTATTAAAATTCCGATCTAGCTCCGCCTTTGCCTCGACCCCTACCTCTGCCTCTATTCGATTCCGTCCTTTATATCCTCTACCATAGGATTCTCTTCTCCGGAATGAACCCCATTTCTACTCATATTGGAAACTTGAATTCTTTTCAAACAAATTAGCTTTGTTCGAAAAGCTTGCTCTAATGGTTGCTTTTTGTACAAATTCACCCTCCGGTCATGTGCTTCAAGAGAACCCATCAATTCATGAATTGAAAGTTTTAACGAGTCTTTTCTCTCTTCTATGATAACAACAATATGCTCAAATTTCTATGGCAAGCTTCTTAAGATCTTCTCAACAATTTTCTTCTCAAAAACAATATCACCATAACTCTTTATCCGGTCGATGATCTCTCGTAGCCTTGGAAGAAAAATTTCTAACGAGCTCATTATCTTTCATTGTAAGATTATCAAATTCTCTCCATAAATTTTACAACCTTATGGAGATGGCTTTCTCTAAGCCTTTTAATTCATTCTATAAAATTTCTCATGCTTCTTTTGCTTTCTTAATAGAAAAATTCTAGGGTAGATGG